TGAAAATAATCCAATAGAAAGTCGTACCAACGGAGGTAGCAATCCCATCAATAATTGATTTTTTATTTTATTATCCATTTGATAATATCTAGTCACCCCCACTACTAAATAAGTTAGTTTAACTCTTCAAACATCTTACAAATAGGTATGATAAAAATAAATCAAATAACCACTCACCACAGGTTCAAAATTATAAAAAAAAAGTAAAGTTGCGTCTCTAGCACACCGAAGTCCAAAAGCTCCGGCACAGAGCTTAAGTTCAAAGCACTGAAATATCACTAGTCAGTTTCTATCACTGTGGGTCCCGTTTGAGTTATTATTTTTGTTTGACGATAAGACTGGACTGTTCACTGTTATTTTGAACCGGCGTGTCTCGCTCGCAACGAAGCACCGCGTGCATTTCAATGGATGAAAGTGTAAACCGTGGTTTTTGTATAGCGCCCTCTCGTTTGTTAATGCACGCGAGAAAGGGAGAGAAACACTAGCCGCCGTCAAGTTTGGCTTTTTGAGTGGAGTAGCAACTTCGCCCACTATTTTATTGTTATTCTAATTCTCCGGCCGTCTCGAAACTCCGGGCATATTCTACGAAATCTACCCAATATTGAAGTTAAAATAAAAGGGACGCGTTGTGGGTGAAAAATAAAAGCCGATATCGTGGATTGTTTATTTTATTTCTTCCCACAGGTGGCAAGTTCCAGAGTAGTGAGCACAAACTAACATATGATTATGGTAACTATTTTCAGGGATAACCACGTCTAATCTAGTCAAACAAAAAGATTTGAATGAAAAATATTAAATCTATCCAACAATCAATATGCTATCAATAGCTTACACTTATTTTTTACTTATTACAATTTTTGTGATGAAATAAATAAAACAATTTCTGTGCAATTTCAAAATCCTAGATTAGTCACAAAACTTTAGCTCGGTTGAGTGGAAATAGTGTTTTGACAGTAAATTAGTGCTTACATTTATTTATTTTTTGGCAACAAAGAAAGGTGTGTAATCCCTTGTAAAATGCTCCTACCCCGGTCTATAACATACTTTTTTAATCTCTAATGAATTTAATTCCAAAAAGAAATGAAATGATTATAACCTGATATGAAGAGTAAACAAATATGCATGTAACCAAGGGCGTATGGCGATCGGTTACAAGCCCACTTGTCCCTTGAGCAGAGAGCATAAATATATATCCTTCATAAATACATACTACATACATGCAAAATCATATTTTTTTTTGTTGATTTAAAAACGTGTGCTGGAATAGCTACGTGTCCAAAATTTAACATGATAAATAAATGAATAATTGCTCTCATCGCTCCACAGATACAAACTTGCTGATTTCAGTTATTAAGGTATAAATATTTAAAGATTTTTTTTTTGACAAAGCTCACACCACTTCCGATTCTCGTGGCTTACAAAGTGAAGGATGCATAACTATTATTACATTGTGGGGGACATATTTTAAAACTACTCGCATTGATACTGGTATTAGTAGTAACATTAAAACGACCACACAATGAGAGTGATTTTAAAAGTGATATATAATGCAATGACAATGCAACACGTTCTTTTCTAGTTTGAAACAATCATTTACGACAGCTATATCGCCTATTTAGTACATATATACAGGGAGATCTAAGATTTTCTGCACAATTTTGTCAATACTTCACATGATGGTATTATATTTAATTAATTGAAAACCTTATGAACAATATAGAAAGAAACTTCATACATAGTCTTAATTTTTTTTTTACATATTCAACATCTTAGAGAAAGAAAAACTTTAATTTAAACAAACATTTTCTTGAATAGTTTTGATATCGTATCAAACGCAAAATTGAACGGAACGTGTCATAACCTATTTCCATTTAGTGGAACAAATGAATTAGGTCACAGGTCACATTGTCATCGCAAAGTTTGCAATGGCTCGATGTCATAAACAATATTAAGTGCCGTCCCCTCAATAGGCACCATTGCAAACTTTAACATATTTTGTCATCAACAATAAATTGCCGATGCAACGTTTTAGATCCATAGATGTTCTGGACAATAAATAGGAAATCAAGTGCATAAGCACATTACATTAGATTAATTACTAATCAAACATAATATAATATGCAAACTTGAAACAATTTTTTTTTTGTTTTCTTTTTTATAGAGATATCCTTTAGAAATATCGTTAATAGAATAAGTACAATATAATATGAACTTATGACAGAAAATGAAACAATTAATATGACACGCGAAATGAATGATGAATTAAAAATACCCAACCGTATTATAGATGCAGATTTCAATACATATTGTAAATTACTATTTGAAACAGACAAATACTAGTATTACGTAGACTATTTGGGTAATCTGTAAATAAAAATGTATATTTCAGACAATTCTACAACAGACAATTCTGACAATCATAATGATTATGAACTGAAAATGTCTATACATTAATTTCACAATATACTAAATATATATACAATAGCCTTTCTGCTGATAATTTGCAAATGTATTTTTTTGATGTTTTTTTTTTATTGTTTTCAATTATTACAAACAGAAATAAATCACACTACAGTATAAGAAATAATAAAACACGACACATTAGTAGCAAAGTTTGCACGAATATTAAAATTTTATGATAATGTAAAAGATAAGGCTTTAAATGAAAAATAAATATGGTAAATTAAGGAGGATTCCGCGCTACGAAACCGTTAATGGGACGAAACGAGTGTCGCTGCACTCAGCGTAGAGCCAAAAACGACAACTGCCACCGCGAAACCTCCATATAAACGAAGATATACGAAAATATAACATATACAATTCTTATGCTTTACATAAACTATAATAACAGTTACACCTATATGAACTGTCACGATCCATATTTGGAGCTGTGTAAATTATGTTACAATTTATTGCCACCACCGTTTACTATATTGGCCATTGGCAAAGTAAATCACGAATTATCGTTTCGTTAGATAAATAGCATAATGATGCTATTGCTAGGAGAATGCTCCTCTAGGGGTCCGAATATCGTAAACGGTGACGGCAAGCATATCATCGAAGGAGCACAATATATAGTTCATCTCGTCCAACTCACTATGGGGCGGCAATGCGCCCGTCTAACACTGTCCAACTTCGTACAAAACTTGACAACTCGAACTACCACTATTCGACAGTGGGAAGCGAGCGAACGAATCCAAAGCTCGCGCCCACGCCGGCCTACAATTTTTTTTTTATATTAAACGGCCATTCAATAAAATCGCCGCGTGTAAAACTTAAGATATTATGGACAAAAACCGACAAATAAACGGTCCACTACCATCCCGACACACTCCTAGTAACTACGGACGCCTCTCCGCCGGCTTTGGTCGATAGCAAAGCTGCAACACTGCATACGTTTCTCTATAATAATACCATGAAAAACGTACGCACTGCTGATTTGCAGAGACGCATCTCATAACACTTAATCCTTCTAGACCTTCACTTTTCAAATGTTGTAACGGAAAACAATTTTTTTTTATATCATATAAAATTTAGAAAAAATTCAATCTGCCAGAAAACGTAAACGAAAAAAATACTAACAAAAATAAAATACCTGCTCTACCTACGCTTTACGTTAACAAATTATTTAAACAACTCGGGACGATTATTATTGTAAGAATTATATTAGAATCGTCCGATGCTTGCCTTGGAATGCTGTCGTTTTGATTTGCATTTTTTTTAATAATAATATTAATAATAAAAAAAAGAAATACCAATACATTAAAAAAAACATTAATGTTTAAAACTCCAAAGGTATAAGAAAAAATCTATTTCATGTCAAAACTTCATTACTTATCGCTTTCTTCGAATACTTTCGAACATTATTCAATCTTCACCAAATATTGTTGATAATGTCGCAAGCGAAAGCATTCCATCAAACATTTCTACAATAATATGAAATCTCTATTGAGAAAAATTGAACTAAAATTAATGTTACATTTATACACCTCCCACAATATCTATACGATCATAAGATATGTTAGCACTTTCTAGCCCACTTTATACCCCGTGCCTACTCGGAGAGCGCAACATAAGGCTTTGCTAATTAATCCTATTATTATTGCTAACTTTTCCATAATAATGCCACTTGAAAGTATTAAGGAGTCACAAAATACGCCTAAAATCATTTCAAACAGTGAAAATTGTTTGTCTGACAACAATAATATCGTTGGAAACAGGGCGTGTATATTTGAACAGAGTTGTTTATCGGGAAAGGAAAATACAACCACCTTGACGTAGTACGCGCTATAATTACCGCAGTTTCATGAGCGTAAGGTCATATAGCTCCACTGAATATTGTATAGATTAATATAATAAAAACGTTTGCATAATTATTCGCGGACTATGTAATAAAAATGGCTAGTTTAGAACTTAACCGTCGAGCCCTCGTATTAATAAACGACAAAATGAAATAGTTACAGGCAATATATATCGACTGTGGTACCGAGAAATTTTGTTTAGATTTATTTAACAATAGATAACGAAATGACAAACAAAAACAAGGTATTATCTATATCAAGTATTTTTCTACGTGACAGTGAAAACAAGGGAAACAATTTTTTTGCACACCATATAATAATAAGAAAAAATCTTTTAACTGCATACGAAACCGCGTAATATCAACGAAACATCTCTCAGTATCAACAGTCGCGTCAACCGAAACAAACGTCAGGATCGAAAAATAATAATAATAATAAAAAAAATACAAAATGAAACAAGCTCGTTTTAACCGAACCGGATTCCGCTTCACCCCGGGTCGACGCGGGTCGGCAGGGTTATGATATCGCACTTCTACACGAGGTACTCGACACCCCGGTCGACCCGAACGGCTGCGGACCGCCGACCGCTCCTCAGCAGCCCCGCCCGACTAGAGATCGTTCGCATAACGCGCGCGTACGACATTCAACTCTTCAGAAAGGTAGAAACGGGGAGGGGCCACGGGGCCGAGGCCGGGGCCCCTAGCGGGTGAGCGGGCGGTCCACCGCGCAGCAGTGCAGGAACCGCGCGTGCGGGTGCGGGCAGGCGGCCGCGCACCGCAGCGCCGCGCTGTGCCGCCGCTTGCGGTCCCCCGGCGACTCCTCCTTGTCCGCGTACATGGCGTGCGCCGCGCTTATGTCCGACAGCAGCTCCTCCCACTCGCGCGACATCTCCTCCGGCGGCGGCAACCGTGACGTCACGCTCAACGCGGGCGCGCACGTCCCGCACGCCTCGCCCCATATCCCGTCCGCGTCGATCGCGTTCGAGCGCATCTTCTTCGCCGCCCGTCCGCACTCCTCGCAGGCCCCCCACGCGTCCGGCGGCCGGTCCGTCTGAACGGCCGCGTCGATCTGCCTCACCGGAAACCGCAACCTGAAACCGGGGTCGTCGAGATCCGGGCAGCGCTGCGACTCGGTCAAATTCAGCCGGCCGTAGTCGATGCTCTTCGAGCTGCGGTACTCGAGGTACCGCTCGAGCGAGCTCTTCGAGTAGACGCCGCCGGACTCGCTCCTGAAAAACTCGACCTGGTCGAGGTCGCCGCGGATGTCGAACGTGTCGCCGTCGGCGTACTTTGCGGTCTCGGTGTCGGCTTCGCGGCGGATCGGCTTGAAGTGAGTGCGGGTGGACGTGAGCAGGTCCTCGCGGGAGTCGCGCGGGGGCGAGGCGGCGGGCGGCGGGGCGCGGGCCGGTGCGGGGCGGCGGGGCGGCGGGGCGCGGGCCGCTGCGGGGCGGCGGGGCGGCACCTCCGCGAACCCGCTGAACTCGCGGCTGTGGTTGAGCGCGGTGAACGAGCGCATCGTGTTCGCCACGGTGGACAGCGCGTCGTATATCTCGTCGCCCTCGTACAGCGCGAACGATTCTAGTTCGCTCTGCGGCGGCGGCGGCGGGGGCGGCGGCTCCGCTGCGTCGGCTAGATTAAGCGGCTTGAAGCGATCGTGCAGCACCTCGACGATTCTCGACGGAGAGTCGGCGCGGTCGGCGCGGAGGCCGTCTGCGGCTTCATTAGACCAGATGCTTTCGGCGAGAGATATCAGACTGCACTTTTCGACGGACGGATCGGCGAACGCGTGATCCGAGGGGGACGACAGAAGATCTTGGAAGTCGATCGGGAGCTCTTGGAACTCGTCGTCCGGGGTGTTCTGATCTTTGGACCAAAGGGCCTCGATGCTGCGATCGAATTTAGCTTCGAATCTCGCATACAGCTCCTCCTCTATCGGAGTTATCTCCTTTGGATTAGTATAATCCTCCTTGATCACCCATTCGGCGTCGAAATCCAAGCTGTCGTCCAAGTCGGGCACGGTGTTATCGTTCATTCTGATCTTGATCTCGGTGATCTCCTTGATTTCATCGGTCACCGTATTCTCGCACGTACCGTAACCTTCGTCCAAAGCTATCGCTCTAATGAATTCCTTGACGGGATCTTGCGCCTCCATATCCCAAACTCCTTCGTGTGTTACCCACTCAGGCAGACTCTCTTTGCTTTCAAAGGACCTACTGTAGCTGTTGCAACGTTTCCTGTTATTCTTCTTTTGGCCGTGGTATGAATTACGACGCTCCTTGCCGGTAGGCAATTTCTTGTTTTTGATATTCTGCTCTTTAGAAACTGTCAATTCGCATTGCATCTTGACCTTGATATCCACTTCTGCTCTACGACACCAAGCCGGGGGCGGAGGTGGTATATAATATTGCAATGGCGATTCTTGTCCTTTCTTTAGAGCAGGAAATGCAGCGTAATAACGACGTACGGCCTCAGCTTGTTCAATAGAACACGTGGGCATGCCTACTTGTGATGTACTTTCTTTATCTTTGATGTCTTGCAGTCTTGTACACAACTGATCAACTATGATGTCAAGGTTAGGTTCCTGGAAATAAAGAATAATGATATTTAACTCATTATTAACAAATATTGTGTTCACAAAAACTAGACTATTTCATCTATCAAAATCAAGGCTAGTTAAGTATGTCTGATGCCCGGTTTCTGAGGGACTTTTAACGGCAGTTTATCGATTCGATAGCGCTATTGACTCAATAACTCTTAGAATTGCGTTTCTGAACATCACCGAGTCAGTTAAACTCCGTTTAAACTAAGGTTAATTTAACTGATCATTTTGTGCCGTTTATCGGTTCCATAACTTTATTTGACATTTTGGACGTGGTCACATCATGCGATTTTTAGGTTTTTATTATTACGTGGTGAATTTTAACGATGCGTTATAGCTAAATTAAACTCGAAAAAACAATTAATAGTGATATAATTAATACAAGCAGTTCGACAGAGTCGGATACAGATGTAATGGAGTTTATACTATGTCCGGGAAACTAAAAAGCAATTTGACTCTAGTTCTTGTTTTTAGTTCATCCTTTGTCTATTACTCTAGTTTAAAAACAAACAAACAGGCCCAGGTTGTAATTTAGCCAACTTTAATATGATCTTGTTATTTTTTATCTAAGGTATTATAAAATTATTCCCCGTAAACAAGTTTTATGCAAGCTACTCAGTATTCTCCCAAGCCTAGCAAGGGGAGAGTAGCTCGGTGGCGTAGTGGATAAGCGCCGCTGCCCACGATTATTGTTATTAAGCAACTTTCGTAAAGGTCGGTCATGGGATGGGTGACAAAAATTATCATCTCGACCTGATCCCTGCTTCTTTTTTGTAAGGATGTACATTTTCATGTATCTTCTTTTTTTAAGGATGTACATTTTCGTCCTTCGGCATTACATACAGACACGGACAAATAACTTATTTTCATATTTTTTACACTAAAAAAAGTATTTGATAACTCATTTAACTTTAAAAAAACTATTATCGCAACTAAAACAAGTACTAAGTGCAAAATAAAATAAATGAAGTCAAATTGAGGTCGCTTCTTTGAAGAGTTCCATCTAGTGGTAAATTTAGGAACTATTTATTATGTTCAGAAACGCAGTTCAGAAACGCAGTGACAGTTAAACGAAGTTTATCTTCTCCATATCTTTAAGGCAGCGATAACTATTGAGAACTTAACTGAAGCCCTCAGAAACCGGGCATGAGTCTCCCTCAGTGATCAATTACAAAGAGATTTTATCTTTGATTTTCAAAACTAACTATAATTTAATGTAAAATGAGATATAAACATTATTTGAAAAAACCAATAGGGAATATGCGTCTGATTAAAAAAAAAGGTTTAATATATTTTATTACAATAGTTATTGCTTTAGAATAAAGTCTATCTAAATATTTTTCAATATTAGTTCGTTTTCATCTTCAAAATAATTATTAAAAAGTGCAAAATAAATGCGGTAACTTCAAAATATTTAGACGCCATGATACTTATCAGAGCGGATGTGACGAAACAGCACACGTATAGGGATGTCATTGTTACAAAATGTTAACATTGATGCAATAACATCAATGTATTATGTCTCAAAATAAACAACTGATTACAATTTAAATGATGTTTTAGGCTTTTATTTTTATTTCACCAATTAAGTAAATTATATGATTTATTAAAAAAGTCTATTATACTTTAAAAATCGATTAGTTGTTAATCGATTTAGGCAATTGAATAGAACTAAGCTAAGCTGGAGAGGCCTTTGTCAAAGGACAACCTGGCAGTACAGATGCCGATGTCAGTGGAAAAAACTAAATTGGAACTATAATTGATGTAAAAAGTCAGAGAATAAAGGCTATTTTTATTTATTTGTTTTATTTATTAGGCAATTGAATAATAATTTATCACTCAAAACCCATATTGATTTAAAATGTCATATCTCTAGTCATGTACTTTGACGTCACGACGAGCGCGCCAAAAATTCCGGTGTTTAAACAGCTCGTAGCTATTACTTATTTTCATCAATTATTAATGTTACAAAATTTTAGTTTACGGTGCCGGGTATTTTTTTACAGTTATATATCGATGTCAATTATCATATAAAACCATTTTCCAAAAATATGCATATTCCCTGTTATAGTGCTAGAGGGATGATTTAAAATTACATAATTTGTTGTCATTAACCTAAACATAAGCTTAATTACATAAATGCACTTTCCAACCAAATTATTACTCAATAAAAAATTGTTCTACAATACTACTTTAATATTTAATTGTGCTAAAACATACAACACAAACATAACATTAAAAGCCAAATATTATCTAAATGATTACAAATTATTTACAAGATGGAGTGGAAGTGCAAATTATATAGGAGTTTTTAATTTAACTAAATACACACACATATGGTGGGTTAATTAGAATAATAAAACAAAAATTAAACAGACATAGCATAATACCATACTAAAAATATAAAACAGAACATTTAACTTTACAGAGAAATATATAAATAACTAATAAAATGGATTTGGTAGGTAGATATCAAACAACAATTGTTACAGTGTGCCCTCAAACTATTAAACAAAAGAATCAAATACATATCCCCAAAATATTGTGGCCAAACCAAAAGAAACAGTACAATGAACTACCTTCATAAGCAACATATTATAACTAATGAACAAAAGTTTCCATTGCCTCACTAAACATAATAATCAGTAAACAACATTCTATTTACTAGCTTTTACTACACTACAAATATAAAATGATGTTGCTTATGAAAACGAAACATTGCTTGACCAACCTTCTTATAAGGGTTCTTATAATTGCTAAATGTCTTCATTTTTATGTTTCCACTGTTATGATCTCTTCCCAACATAACTGAGCACTGCATATCCTCTTGACGCAGTGGAAAAAACATTTATTAGTATAAAATTATGTTACATATTATTCAATTGTTCCATTAGCTTTCTTATCTCATTTTTGTTTATTAACGAGTTGTAAATAGTCATTTAATTGGTAAACAAACCATAATATATTTGAAGTTCAATATTCAATTTCAACAATTATCTTTGGTGTCAATACAATATACTGAATAAATAAATGTGTTAACTTGTGTCATGTCAAGTTCAATGTACTCAGAGAAGAACAAAGGACATGTGCACCGAGTGTGATACTCACATTTTTGTGTTTATAACTAAATTTTTTGCACCAGAGGGAGGTCAGCTTACCTGTATGAAGTGTGTGGGTATCAGATGATAGAGTTTGGAGTTTGTTGCAGTTCTCTAGATGTGGCAGGCCAGCAGGCGTCCGCCTGGCTCTCTCTTTTATGCTTACGCATTCTGCATTGGATACTTTCTTCCGCTATCAATATCCATTATTATATTCAAAAATCGAGGGTCCATTATACAATTGCCGTGGGCCGTTTTTTTTATAATCGATCTTCTTCTTTCGTCAATTTAATACATGTTTAATATCTTTGGCCTATTCTTTGCTAGTGTTTCGTATTTATATAAAGGCAACCTTTTGTCAATTTCGATCTAAATGAGCAATCGCATTGTCACTAGCTATCAACAAATGACGCACTTTGTGCACCCCTTCTGAAAATAAATTGTAAATAATTATAGCAAACGGGTAGTTTGGCGTGTTGTATTCGCACAAGGTCAATGTTAGCGCAAAGTACAAAGAATTTTAATAAAATCATGCCCGCCCGCCGCGCTAAATTGGGTCGATGGCGCCAAAACGTCACTCGGGCCACGGCAGAGAAAATATAGCATGGAACGTACATTGTGGGGCCTCATACTACAATGGCGTGTTACGTTTATCAATTTACAAAGATCATCTACGGCACGTACAACTTTATCACCATTTGCACTGACTCATACGTACTCATAATCGTAACATCTAGAGGAAGGATGCAGTTTCACAAGAAGGCGACAGTATTACATGATGCACTTTCACTGAGGTCGCGCGATGTACTTCCGTGTTGGCACGTAAACACTATCAAAAACAAAAGATATCTCACCTGTGTCGTTTTGTATGGGCTTAATTCAACATGTTAGTTCAATACACACACCACTCCACATGAAAAAAACATGGCAGCCGAAGTGAGTGAATGAGAGTCAAAAAATATTATTTTGCGCAACTCCGTCAAACGATTGAAATGACGTCTCATATATAAACCAATGAATGCTTACCGTTTCTGAAATAGACAAAGATGGCGGATCAAAAGCCCGTGATTAGGATTTTAAAGCAATGTGATTCGTCAAAACTTCCAGAACTACGTTCATTGGCCAACAATCGGAAACGGATACAAAACATTCGCAGTTTTAGAGGCGCTAAATTTTGATACCTTCTTTAATACAATAATTAGTATTCTACTAAAATAACATTAAATAATTAAAATATCTGAAATATGAATACCACTATACAAGCTACTTAGGGTCAAAATCAGTTTCTCTTGGGTCGAACTAAACGATAACAAGTTTTTGTTACAGAACTTATCAATTTGAAACTTAGTAAGCTACTGTGTACTAGGCTTGGGCAAAAAATCAATATTGATATCGATTTTTATTTAGAAAGTTCTTGATATAAATCAACGATATATGTTTCGCGATATATCGACCTTTAGATATTTATTTTTGGATATTAAATGGGTATCAAAATTGATTTAAAGCTCTTAAAGCTCTCTGCTAAAGCGTCACATCATGTATTCGACCTATCCAATCTCTTTGATTTAGAAAAGGAGTAGGTAGACTTTCAAATTTCGAATATTTTGACAATGTTTATAAGTATTCGTTTATTGAGTAGAGAATATTGAAATATCAACATATCGATATTTTTAGGCCATATTATATGTATATTTATTTATAAATGAATTTGAAAAATATCGATACCATATATATCGATTTTTCCCATTTGCCCATCCCTAACGTGTAGTTTTTTTGTAAGTCTTATTTCATTATGAGCCTTTGTCTATTACACAACAAAGTTTTCAAAAGTATTTTTTATAAATAGGAAGAAACTAGAGATAAGAATTTAAAAGCTATTTGGCTATGAAGGTTTGACTGAGATACTTTTTAGTTCATTTTGAAAAAACGGTCTCTTGTTGCTTAAACTTTCCAAATCTCTGTTTCAGATGGTGTCAATAACATAGATTAATAATTTATGTCGATAACTACTAGTATATCTATAGTGGCAAAAGAGTGATATAGAGATATATTTTAGGTACTACCAATAATTTTAGATCTTTAGTAATGTTAATTAAATTTAGTCAAATAAAAAAGTTGTAGGTACTTGGGAAGAATATTAGGCACCTCGTAATTGACGAGTCTTTTTATGCTATATTTTATCATGGAATATGTTACAGTACAAGAAGAAAAAGTTTTACTTTATTTAAAGCTAATTACAAAAAGATAATAAAGAAACCCAAATTTCAGAAAAAAATAATAAAGATATCCTAATTACAAAGTTTGTGAAATGGAATATAAGGATGAACCAGACAAAAATAGAAAAGCAAGAAAATAGTTTGCTTCTAGAAGAATGTCTGGTCTACTAGAGGCGTGCCGAACTGAGTAGAAACTCATCGCAGCTATGAACGTACCATACAAACAGGACTCTATTACTATTAATTAAAGTATACTTATTATTACTCCCCCTACAAAAGCTAATCCGAATCGAGAGAGATAGCATCATCGGAGGTCGTGTGTCTTGTTCTTTCATTTTACCATGTCATAAAAATACCCTTGATTAATAATAAGTTGATTAAATTAATAAAAACACCATAGAAGAAATGTGTTATTCCTGTATTGACATCAGCCCAGTACAGCCTCAATGTTTCTTAATTATTTAATTTAGCAAAATAGCAATTAAACAGTTTGAATTTCGATTGAGCGAAAAAATAGCGTTATATACCAGTTTTAAAAATGAGAGATAAATAATAATGCCCCAGAAATTTTAGGAATTCATTGAATCAAATTGAATAGAGACAATAGGCTTGATAAGCCACAACGCGGGCCCTGTGTGGATTGGCGGGTATTAACTACTGCAGATGGAGCCGCGACCAATGTTCAGTCAAATAATAAATACAATAATAAATACAAACACATGACCAGTAAAAAAAATATTCATAGAAATCTAGTAAATAATTATAATAGCAAAACATTCTTCCCGTGGGAGAAATTATCGGTATAGCGTCTGATTTTAATAATCAACGGGAATTAGCAATACGAAACCTCGAAAGTTGGAAGAGAAAACTGCATATAGTAACTGAATTCTTGGTAGTTTACTGCTTCACGTGTTACTGTTGAGCCATTTTTGTGGCATGTTTTAATTTTTCGGAAGACTTGATAATATTTTTTTTATTTGACCACACATACACACCATCCACATGTTACATTACTTCATGGTAAACGAGTTTATTTACAGTCTTGTTAATTTTATCTTCTGAAAATATATATTGCAACCACTTGGATAAGCATAAACGCAACTTTTTCTCACCATTTTAAATAATTGCTTTAAATAATCAAATAATTTTTAAAAATATTGAGGGAACTGTATCTATATGTTAAAGCAATTTTTATATCAATAACTCCAAATTATATATTGATAGCATCATTATAACTGCCTAGACAGCAATTGATGGTTTTATCTCCACGTAGGGATGCAATTATATTTCAAAACTCGATATACATGTCGATATATAGCCGCCCAAAAATATCGATATCGAATGATATGAGTAAACGTGTATCTATAACTAGTCCAAATTTTAAAATCCAACAGCATTTTTGCATGTGATATTACATTAGTAGCACATGTGACATTATTTTGGAACCCTAATTGTGATATTTTTTATTATTGTAATTTGTCCTTATTTCAAAATAAACTGTTATACCCAATCGAATTGCAATATTTTTAAAGTGGCAATAAGACATTTTTCTATTGTAATCAGAAGCATGCCGTTTGAATCCACTGATCGCGTAGCGTGCCTTGGCGGGGCCCCATATAAACATTTATTTGGGGCCCCTCATGATAGGTAAAGATTTCTCACAAAAGAAAAGGGATGTATGTACATTGATTATTGTGGGATTCCCCCGTTGAAGTAAATTACTACTTCGATCCTTTTTTTCTTAAAAATATTGTCATGGCAAAGTTAATCGTATATTTTCTCATACATTATTCGTTTTAACTTCAAAAATGCTTTCAATATCCCATATCTATAAATATTGGATATCGAGCGAGATACCGAATTCACGCTGATGCTGCAATATAATGCACATCGATATCGTATATTACGATATTGATACAATATACTTTTCAATTTTTATATAAATAAATATTAAACAACATCACAGACATTGCTCATATTCCAGAGTAGTTAAAGCCCCTCGGCTGTCCCGGTTCAAAACCTAGTAACTGTTTTGAACTAAATTTTACAGGAAAGCAAAAAACTCTTTTTAGAGTAGCTCTTTAAAACTATTTACACCTATTGAGAAATTATTATTTACAAGAAGGAGTAGTTTGAAACTGTTAATTTGATATATAAATTCTTTGTCTAAGTTTCATTTTACAAATTTTATGAGCTAAAATATTTTTAACAATAAAATGTCCAAGTAAAAATTGACTTCCAAAACCATTTCAGACGTAGTAAGTTCTCTTACTAGATTTTGATCTGGTGTAACATATTAGCTAAAAATCAGCTTATCCAGATCAAAAGCTAGTAAATTCAAATTTATACAGCCATTTACACATGCATTTGTGTTTCATTAGGCGGCATTCATTTGTTTTTTTTTTCGTCAATTTGTCCTATTTACGTCACCCAGTATTAAAAATGTAACACAGCAGTCGAAGCGCGTTACATTTAACGCAGCAGTTAACATTATTAACGCATCATTATTTAACTGGCACAATAATGAAGGGTTTTTAAATCAAATCATTACCTGTGATGAAAAGTCGATTCTCTACGATAATCGGAAGCGCTCATCGCAATGGTTGGACCCTGACATGCCAGCCAAATCCTGCCCCAAACGAAAATTTACCCCAAAAAAGTTACTTGTAAGCGTTTGGTGGACTAGTGCCGGTGTCGTTCATTCGAGTTTTCTCAAATCTGGCCAGACGATTACGGCAGACGTTTATTGTCAGCAAGTGCAAACCATGCTGGAAAACTAGCTGTTAAACAACCGAGGCTGGTCAATCGCTTTCCTAAACGCCACTGCTAGTTCACGATAACGCAAGACCACACGTTGCACAACAGACGGCTACCAAATTAGAAGAGCTTCAATTGGAATGTCTAAGACATCCACCGTACGCCCCGGACCTTGCCTAAGATTACCATTTTTTTCGAAATTTGGATAACTTCTTCCAAGGGAAAAAATCAACTCCGATGGGGCAGTGCAAATCGCCTTCAAAGAATTTATTGATTCCCGTCCGAATGGTTTTTTTAGTAAGGGGATCAATGAACTACCTATGAGATGGCAAAAGTGCATAGATAACAATGGTTTATACTTTGATTAAATAAATATAGTATATTAAAAAATATTTGACTTTTTGTTGATGCCATACCAAACACCAATTTCATATGTAAGGACCTAATATATTGTAATGGGGGAAAACATTATATTTAAAGTTATTAGACGGCGATTTGTGATTTTATCTAAGTCGACTCTTCGACACTGACTGAGCTTTCGACTACCGACTATAAGCTGTGAACATCAACTCATAATGTTAATTAAGAAATTGCTCATAACTCGGTTCTATATTTCTCTCAGTGTAATTTATATATGCATATTTGTTCTGTTTTATTGAATAAATAAAATAAATTTAAGTCTTCTTTAGAATGAATTTTTAATTTCCGCTAATATAGCTCCCAATAATTAATGTTATTTGAAGTTATAGTGGTTTTAAGTTAAATACTCAAAGTGGGCATAAGTTAGACGACATAAGTTTGGGAACCCTTGATCTAGTCTATGGTTCCATTGCTAATTTAACTTTTTCTTGATGTTCTTTTTGTGTAGTCAAAATATCTTCTGGCACTTCAGTACCTTTATGTGTATTTCTCTTAATTTCTTCTTCATAAAATGAACAATCCGCGCACTTATTGCATTTTGGCATGTTAAACTACAAAATATTGTTTCTATACATTTATTCACTTCATAACCCAGTAACAAGATTTGACCATTCAAAAAACCTAGTATGTGCTAACACATACTAGAGTTTTGAAATAGTCAAAGATTCATAATAGGTTTTATAATGGTTAAAACTTAACTTTTCATAAATTTAGAAGCACTTACTAGGTTTAGGGTACCCTATAACTTTTAATAGAAGTGAATTTTGATATAGGGCATTTTGGCGGGAGTTATTGAAAAACCACTTTTAACAAAAAAAAAACACAATTTCTACTTTTTGTAGACTTACTAGGTTTTGAAATGGGACAGCCGCCCTGTATTATGGAGCGTCTGAGACAACGAAGGTAACACACCACCACAATACAATTTCTATCGCCCTCTAAGTTAATGAAAATCTTTTAAAATTCCAGAACAGCTGAGCCAATTTGGCTGATTCTGGTTTTGAAATATTACTTTATTACTAGGGGAAGTTTAAATGGTGACTGGTCATATGAATGAAGTACACCGGGTCATCTATACTCCATTCATTACAGCATTAGACAGAAGTTAAATAAGGTTTGTTTTTATGGTATATTTTGTGACAAAATATCAATAATCATGTTACTCTTAGGACTGACGGCTAATTTGCTACATATCCACTTAAATATCAGCTGCTATACTTAATTGTTGTAATTTAAGCTATCTATTAAACAAATTTATGAGCATTTGACTAACTTAAATGATTTAATAACTATTACAATAAATAGTGTTCATATTAAAGAACCTAAAGAAGCAGGGTTGGATAGTTTCGGCACGATTCTCATGTCACTATAACTCTAGCAAATTTAAAACGTTGCCTAATCCTTTCAAAATTTTCGGCAGTACAGCTTTTTAATTTTGTCATACTATATCAGTATTCACAATAGTCAAAATACGTAATCTGGGATTATCCTCCATTGTGATTGTGAATGCTACTGCCTTTCTTATTGTTTTTCCGTTTTCCGTTATTAAGTTGTTATTGTTTTATTTTTGTTGTTAAGTTTTGTTAAATATGGATATTGCCGGTGCAGGCCCGAGTGACCTACAACAATTACGCTCTAAGCCCCCCATACCTACCCTTTGACATTTCAGGAAGTTTTTCCAACATCTTCATCAATAGTCATTATAAAAGTAATAATAAAATTTTCATGTTTACCTTTTTTTCCTGGGCAAAGATATGACTAAATTCTATTCTAAATATATACACTTACAATATATCAAAACAACAGATAGATAATTTTAGTTCCATGTTGGCTTGGGAGTAAAAGATTAATTTAGAAAATGCTGGCCTCATCTCAACCCCGAGGTATCTTAAAAAATTGAAAATCGCCCAGCTCTTTCAGACTACCTAATGTTCAAAATCAACAAAAATATAATAAATATTTTTTAAATTTATCTTGAAAATAAAATGTTCTGCATTGCTGCTTCTATGACCCTCTTTTTTTCTAATGTTATAACGACTGGAGTTATAGTCACTACTAAAAATTTGTTGGAACGTTTCTTCTTTGCTTTTGTCTTACAAAGTGTTTGATAAAAAATAATCAACTCTGTCTATAATAACATTTATTCGTTTTTACAGTTTTTCAATATGTCCAATGAAAAAAAAGGTGCTGCATAGGTACATAAGTTTTAATAAATACAGAGAATTTTGTTATCATGGCGATTTTTGTCATATTCCCTAATTTTTGCATTGGACAAGATAATATTCTGTCATCACAAGAGACTATTCAAGGTCACTCTCCAACAAGTACAATGTGGATTAATGTTGCATAAATCTGCTTAATGAACAAAGCATATTTCATGAAAGAATTGGTTAGGCACTAGTTTCAAACTATAAATATAGTTACGTTTTTAATAAATTCAATATAAAAATTGTTTTGCTTTCTATTGATTATTTATAAATTTATTGTGCCTTACCGGATAATGACCTTACAAACTTTTTAAATTCAATTACAGGTTTAAAGGTTAAATTACGATATTTAACGGAAATTATGAGATAAAAATATGTATTAGCTTATTATACATTCTAAATACAAATGATATTACCACAATACTAGTGACATGGTGACTCCGACAGTAAAACGAAAATAATGTGGATAAATATCTAATATACATAACGCAAACATGTCGACAATTTCCATTTTGTGCACCAACATTACATCCACTGCTAGAACAAATTAAATAAAACTTAAAATTGAATAAATCACAGAAATGCATAAACAATATAATAAATCTCTGAAGTAACAAATACAGCAGGGAAATAAATTAACAACATCAAGATAAATTTGTACGTTACAGAAAGATAAATTCAATACAATATGACCATTATACTTTATTTACATTGATTGATTACAACATTTAAAAAAAAAAATTATTGTCATCTAGAGTAACATACTACTTTGAAGAAATAGTATTTGCATGTACATGTAACACTTCGAAAGTGCGGGTTTGTAGTATGAATTATTAACTCGTAAAACTTGATAAAACAAAGATCGAGCCCTACATTGTATTTTATATAGTTTATATCCTGCCTATTGAATGGATAATGAGATTTCAAAATTTTAATGCATTAAATAATATACCAGACTTATAGCCTTCGTATACCGATTCAAGCCGACATAATAAGTTTTTAGTATTCAATGATACTAAATTATATGTATGTTTATACATAACACTGTTTTCGACCTCAACAAACTAAGTCCTAGAAAAACCCTCAGAGTAGATTTGTCGTTTGAAACCAAGCTGAGGGTAATTATGGCTATATATTTTATATATCTATAAACAGCTTTTTATTCACTTCAGTGACTCTCTGGCCGTTTACTGCTCTCCTCTGGTTTGACTATCGTCTCACTCTTCGGCACCGGGCGTTCTTCTTCGAATTTTTCCACGGCTTTCTTCATTTCTCTCCTTTTTTGCGCCTCACGGATTATGTCGAATAAACTCTGTAAATTATAAAGTATAACTTATTAAATTGCTACCACATTTTACTTCAATTCAAACTTTCTTTTAATTTGGAATTCATAATTTAATGTAAATATCAATACATTCTCAATAAAACTTAAAAAATATTGCTCCCTTTAAGTTTTATGCTTACAACAGCATTGGTTGAAATAAGTTGAGCATTATTATAATATATGGACAGCTTTTATATGAACAGTATTCACTTTTACTATTACCGAGAAGCTGGATGACCAACATTTGCTCTGAATTTTTGTTTTGGTAAATGAAACTTAGCTAGTTTGATTTATCGCCCCTGATACAACATGCAAACTAAAGAAGAATGGCGAAATCAGACCCCATAATTTACAAAACCGTACATGGATGGTAATATGACAAATAAATAATATATGATTAATAGATTTAATTTCTACAAAATAGTGAATTTTAATGTCGGGGAACCAAACTTAAATATTAAATGCTGCTAATAATTATCAAGATAACAAAACGTCTGATGATAGTGCAAAAACAAAACGCGAAAATCTTTTTAAGAAACGTTCTGGTCTACGCAGAAATACTGCGTAGAAATACTACTATAATAATTGAAAGCTAAGATACCACAACCGATTTAAGAAGATTATTGCCAGTTCTGCAGTTGATCCGCTGAAAGGTTAACGTATCGATTATTTTGTTCTAAATAATCGATTGGTTGATTTTATTTTGACAGGCTTGTTTTCATCTATGAATGTTGTATGATGATGATGGTGGAATGATAGCGGATGATTGGTTTGGTTTGTTTGTTGTGTGTTCGTTCGTGGAGTTTGATATTTATGTTAATATACAACTTGACAATGAAGCATGTTTCTTCGACTAACGTTGATATTTGCATTACTTCTGGATTCCGAATGGCAATCGATTCGGTTACAACAATGACAGTTCAATGTGTACATTGCACTTATTTGTCACTTTCAATTGTAATGATTTAATTAAAGGCAAAGGGATCTATCTACTCCACACAGTTTAGTCATATGTTACAAATGTTTCTTCTATAATAAGTTTATTTTTCACACAATCATTGATTGATAGGCAAACAATTTATGAGTAATTATTTTGTGCGATAATTAAGTGTCTTGATCTTATTAGATATGTAATTATTTTAATCTAGTTTATTAAACGGAGTAATCTGGTTACCATTTTTATTTATTTTAACGTCCATTCAACGAAAAAGCAAAGATGCAATATATAACCCCACAAAGTATATAATGCCATATCTTTTTAATCCCAACTTTTAAAGGAAAAAGACGATTAGGATTTTGTTAGTTTAGCTTATACCTTCAAGTACACGTTTATTTCATTCATGAACGGGACTTTAAAAATTCAGGTCCAAAGCTATATGGGAGATCGCCATTGTTCTTTCATGAACATTTCAGCTGTTTCCGACAATATTATTGTAAAAGTATATATAAAACTATACAAATATTACTCGTTAAAAGGTACATAATAATTTAAAGAATTTGTTAAATATTTGTGTTGAGATTGCTCCCTCTACTCTAACAATATCCTAATAATCCATAGAAACATTGAAATTATTATATGCATTCCCATGTATGTGATAAGAGATCTTTCGAATATGTACCTATTTATATATTTAAATTAATATCATTACATAGAATCTAATTATTTGCCTAAAAGAATACGCAGACGCCATTTGAAAAAAAAAACTCTAAAAATGATAATCGAGTTAAATGTTGGCACATTACCAGATAGCCGATTAGTAAGGTCAACGTATTCCGGAATGGAGAATAGAATCTATAAAAAGACGTGAAACAAACGCGTCTTAGAAATTGCAATATATAGAGTTTATGGTGAAACATAAACAGTATATAAGATATGATGAGTAATATGTTTAAATACCTAGCTGTATGTTTGAACAAGTTTTCATTTAATGAACTGTATTCAACATTGCTCTTATATTTAATAACCACATTGGGTGGGTCGTTCAGAAATTTATAATCCGCCATTTTGTTACGGCGGCCATTTTGGATTAAAGATAATATCGACCGAATATATATAATTGCATTTTCATCAGAATTATTTCATCAGTAAACATATATTTTAAATTTCAGCTCAAACGCACACAGGGAAGTGGGTGAAATTTAGCTTGCAAGACACAACATTGGACCTCTAAAACTAAATGACAGGTTGTAAAAACTTACCTTTCCCTCGGATTCCGTAGACTTATCGTGTTCTTTTGCAGCGACGGCCGCTTTGTCGAGCGCTTTCTGGATTTTACTCTCTACTTCGAGTATTTCCTCTTTATCTAGCAACTCGATCAACTCTGCCATCTGCTTCTCTGATAAGTGTACATTTTCGTTGCCTATTATCTCTAACATCTGGAATCAATATATCAGATAATGTATGTCACATTCCAATTAAAAATATTAATAAAGTTTCTATTAATTTATACTGTTATAAGATTCTTAATTAATAAACACAATACACTCCTTTTTTGTGCAGTCATATAAACATCAAAGAAACATACATCATAGATTGGTATTCATAGATGTTTTATTTTTAGATACGGACGCGATATTAATAGCTAGTTAACAAAGACTTAGATCCAATTCTAAACAATTCAGCAAAAGCTACTCAAAAAATTTCAAAATAGTTTTTCATTAAAATTCTGATGTGCTTATCAAATACCTTCCAAACAAAAACGAGTCTTATGTTACACCAGAATAATGCAGGAATATACATTTAATAATGGCTTTGAACTTACCTTCAAAACATCATCAATCTTCAACTGTCCATCAAAATCGTCATCTAATCTTCCCAATACATCCTGTATCAATTTCAACTTTGCCTCATCAGGTACCTTTTGTAAGCTCTTTATGGAATGCATCAGTTCATCAATTTGGATCAGCTGTTCCTTAGCCTTTTGCGGTTCGGACTTGGTCTGCTCCAGAGTAGTTTTGAGAGCTTTCTCTTTACTCTCCAATTCAACTAAAGCAGCATCCAATTTACTTATCATATTGTTTACTGCACGGTATAATCTGTAAATATTAAGAATAAAGATATATTTAATGCCATACTATGTAATACATAATCTGCAGCTGTTATTACATAATTTGGTCACAACAGTATACTCAATGGGAAAAATAAAAATTGATTATTAAATACATTTTATGTATCATATTTATAGAAAATTAAAACTAAAGATACTCTACAAAACTAAGAATTGTTCAAATTCTCTTGTACCACTCTCTAAACTAAACATTTTGATTTGGGATAATTCCTTCCAAAGAGATAAATTGAATGAAATCCCATGATTTACAAAGAAATTTTAAAAAAGAGCTTAACCTACCTCTTAGCACCCTTGGTCAATTTGATGTCTGCCTGTTTGGTCTTCACTATCTCCTGCATTTCTTTCACATCTTCACTATACTCTGAGAGCTCAGCTTTCAGTTCTTGAATGCTCTCTTTCTCAAGTAGCAGAGACTTTTTCTGTTCAGCTGAAATGTGAGGAGAGCATACATTTCAGTTTTGAAGTTAGGCTGCATAAGGCTACCACAATATGTCCAATTGCATTAACTTTACAGTTTTGTATAACATGATGTCTGTTGAGTGAATTTGGTTGATGAGATTCTGTATTTTTTTAAAAAGAACTATAAAGTTCTGAGACAAGTAACTGGACAACCTCAAGTTATCAAAACTTTGGGTTCAAACCCTATGTCAGTATATGAGAATAATATTAAAATTAAAATAAAATTAAAATAACAAATATATACATAACAATCTATTAATATAAATTCCTACTATTATTCAAAAATATCAAAGGTTAAATTTACTCAACATAGACACTGCAGGAGCATTGATGTTCAAAGAATTTTATCAGATAAGATTGTATTGATAAGTAGTTAAACAAAAATAAATGGTAAGTATGTGTAGCTATAATACTTCTCACTTTTATAATACTCAAAGCCATGGGACAAATAATGATTATTTTTCTGATAATTCATTAATTAGCTGTTTTGTTTATAAATTAAATATGCATTAAACCCATATTGTTCCTCATGTATAAAATATTATTAATATGAGTTATCAAAGTGTCTACCAAACCTCTATGAAAGAAAAAATATAATAAAGAGTTATGTTTTACAGTGAATGACTTCATTTTCTAAATCTATAATTATTACAAAGTGTTACATGTAAACGTCATAAACAGATTTAGAAAAAATAAATAATGAACTTGAACTTCCTTGAAATGTGGATTGGTGCCAACTCACCTAATTTCTCTAAAGCGTCTTCAATTACTTCAATGTCTTTACCAGACAGACCCTCTTCAGACTTCTTGGAATCAACAGCAATAACCGGTGCTGGATCACTCATGACAGGAGTTGACTCTGTATCAATGATTGGTGCTTTGTCCTTGAGTTCCTCTTTTTCTCTCTTCTTGGCTTCCAAGATTTCCTTCTCTTTTTCTGCTTCTTGAAGTTCTTTTTTCTCTTCCTTGATCTTTTCCTCTTCCAATTTAATGGCTTCCGCTTTAGCCTAGTATTTTAGAATTAAGTTAATAATGATTTTTGGGAAATAATATTTCAAGTACATAAAACAAATTGCAAATTCAGGCCAACTGGTTCAAAGTTAAATACTGATAAATATTATTTACTATTTTATATAAATAAAATAGATAGGTTACATTTGTTTTAATGTATAACAATACCTTAAAGTCCACTTTGCCTTCCTTTTCACCTATGGCAGCCTTTGTTTGTGTAGCAACCTGTTCCGGCAATGCTGATATAGTAGCCTTGAGTTTGTATGTAGTAGGCACATGTTCTGGCACCATCAGAGCTCGTGAAAGCAAAAGCAAAGATGGTGGTACCTTTTCATTCAATGACAGATCTAACCAGTTTTTCAGTTCTTTTTTTAATCTATCCTCTGAAACACCATATGCTCTCATACCTCGTGCCCGGCAAGCTTGCTGTAACTCACTAAAATTCAAACTATCAACTCCTTCTTTGGCAATCATTTTGTCATCGGCTGCTAAAGATCTCAACTTCATCTTCAAATTAAATCTCAGCATGGCACTAGTACCAATGGTGCTTACGTTTAAGACTTTACATAATGCCACTAAATGGGGTCGTTGCAAAGAGTCTAAAGTGATTTCATCTTCAAACAACTTAGAGAATTTCATAATCTCCTCACTTGTTGCCACATCACCAGATGTTCTTATTCTATTGAAGAAACCAGAAAACTCTTTAGCGAGTTCGGAGTGTCTGTTGCTGGCCTGCGGTGCCATCTGGTCCAATGTTTCTTGGAAAAACTTTGCCATTTCTAATTTTACCTTTAAGTGTTGTTTTAACTTTGCTTCCTTTTGATCTCTGCTCTCAAATGTGGAAGGCAGCATATTTGGAAACATCTTGATAAAAAGCGGCAAAGCAAATTCCAAAAATGGTACCACAATAAACACTATGAAAGGCACCATTCGGAATAAATCACCAATAGTTGTCACCAATAGCCTGTGTTCACGCCGTGTCAGTGATTCTCCCTTTAAAATTCGAAATAGTAAAGATGTTGATATTCTTATTTCAATAAACAACAATCTAAAGCCATGGTAATAATGTCGCAATTCATCCATCACACGCTCTTTAAGACTCTTCTTCTTCTTTTCCTCCTTTTTAGGTAGCTTCTCTTGTTCTTCTATCCCCTTTTTTATTGTTTCAACTGTAGCTTCAACTTTCGAAGATGGTTTCAATGGTTCTTTATCATAATGACATTTGGTTGTTGATATTGTTCTTATATAAGGGTAAAAACAAATTTTTGCATTGATTGCTTTTTGTGATATATCATGTTGGAAACCTAACGGCTGATTTGTGTAGTAGGACAATGACCTTGAGAGCGTTATGTATGGAAAATTTTGATACTGTCTGGTCTCCCATAATAAGGCTAAAATAAAAATGAAATTCAGTATATCAAAGAATTGAACGTATGAAATGTACTACTGAGGAAAGAGCAGGGTATTACACCTATTCAAGGTAATCCAGAGAAGACATAAATAGTAGGTATACAAAAAACGAGATTTCGACCATGCGTTATTAAAATTGAGTTATTACATATTAAAGAAGCTAATAGAATACAAACTTACAATAAATCTTTGAAAATTAATTACGAATTGCTATTCTTATAGTAAATTTCATGTGTAATCATTTTATCGATAGGTTACTCAAGAATTAGCTTCATTACAAATAATTATAATTTACTACTTACTTGATTTTTTCAAATACCGATAATTATTTTGAATTATTCTGTTCATTGTGTCTTGCGATATAATTAGTTTAAAAATTCGAGAAATATGAAAAACGTAACAAAAACAAAATCAACCTTTACACACCATGACAATCTAGAGGTGATGCCACAGACCACCTCAAAGAACAAGATGTGAACTTAACTCGTAGCTCTATGAAACCAAGTTCAGCACAGACCAAGATGTCGAAGATAATAAGTATATGTTTGTCACATTGACATGAGAAACAATATGTCCGTTACCTGTATTATTTTTCTCTTTGCAATATGTTTATGATGAAAAATGCTTAAAAATCCACCAGCTCCAGGTACACTGCGATGGAATTCGAATAAAGTCTATGTTAATGTTTTCTAACATAAATTCGTTTTCGTCTTAAAAATAATTATTAAAAAAGTGCAAAAAATGCGGTAACTTCAAAATATCCATGCTAGTTGTCAAAGCGGATGTGACGAAAATGTACATGTTGGCGCGAGATCAGAGTCACAAGAAATGACAACATTTTGAAACCTATTTTTCTATGATTATTTTATGAATAATTACTTATTTTTCTCGCTACGTTTTCAACGAATCATAATTTACATGCCATACTGGTGTCGGAAACTTTTCTGAAACCCTGTCTGCCGTCTTCTTATGTTCTTCCTGGATACCATTTGATCTGTAATGACAGGACAGGCAGGAGTGGAGGCGGAGTGGCAATATATTTGAGAAGTCACCTTCCTTTTAACATGGTAAGTAAGTCACCCAGTTTCTATTCGGAATCATCTGAGCATCTCTTCATTGAAGTTCTTTTCGGCCACCTTAAGGTTCTCTTTGGGGTATTTTATAGTCCAAATCTACATATTAATTACTTCGATTCATTTGATACTTTGGGGGAAACATTAGTGCACACAGTTGACCATACTATTATAATGGGCGACTTTAACACGTGCCTGCTAAAAAACGACCATCGTTCTAAACGACTGTGCTTAATTGTGGAATCGACCAACCTAAAAATTCTGCCTTCTTCTGCTACCCACAATTTTCCTAATTGTCAGCCTTCTTTACTGGATCTAATTATGGTTTCTTCTATTGACCATGTCAGCACTCATGAATAATTTCCCGCTGTAGCCTTTTCATATTACAACCTCATCCTCATTTCCTACAAAATCCGGTGTCCTAAATCCAAGCCGCGAGTGATTATGGAGCGTAACCTCTGCGGCATAGACGCCCAACGATTCTTGACCGACCTTGGCAGTATTGACTGGGACGCTGTGTTCGATGCTCCTACAATAGTCTCGAAGTTGGAAGTTTTTAATTCGATCCTTATTCAGATTTTTGATGTTCATGCTCCACTTCGACCTGTCCGTTTAAAACATCTCCCCGCTCCCTGGCTTACAACTGATATCAAAGGTATGATGAATAAACGCAATGCTGCCAAGGTGAGATTCAGGAACGATCGCTCGGATGAACACCGACGCAGTTATAAGGAACTGCGTAATCATTGTAGCAGAGTGTGCAGAGATGCCCAACGGCTTTATCTACATGGTTCTGTGACGAATGGTTCTCCGGCTAAGGTCTGGTCTTTTCTTAATTCTCTCGGTATCGCGAAATCAAAGTCTTCACCTCCTCTTGGATTAGATATCGATTCAATAAATCGTCACTTCCTAATACTCCTCCTATTCCCCCTAATTTAAAACTAGTTACTTTGCAGTCTCTGCCTGCCTGCTCTAATCTTCTAACTCCTGCGTTTTCCTTTAGATCGATATCTGAGCGTGAAATTATAACCAGCATTTCAAATGCTGAAGGTGTTGACGGTATCAATCGAAGAATGATCCTGGCGGGTTCTGAGATCCTTATTCCTATACTCTGCCACATATTCAACTTCTCACTTCATACAGGAACTTTTCCTAGCTGCTGGCGTAAAGCAGTTGTTATCCCTATCCCCAAAACTTCTAATCCTTCTTCGCCTTCACAATTCAGGTCTATATCTAACCTACCCTTTCTTTCAAAAGTACTTGAGCGTCTTGTGTACCGCCTGCTAAGTTGGTATATAAATTCAAAAAAACTTTTAAATCCTCTCTAATCCGGCTTCCGCCCGGGGCACAGCACTGCTTCTGCCTTGCTAAAGGTTACCGATGAGATACGGTTGGGAATGTCGCATCAACTGTTAACAGTTCTAGTTCTCCTTGATTTTAGCAACGCCTTCAATACGGTTGAGGCAATGTTGAGAGCAATTAATATATCTGATGCTGCTGTTAGCTGGTGCCATAGTTACCTGACGGGCCGACAACAATGTGTCCGGATCAATGACAAAATGTCAAGATTTTGTGATGTTGGTTCTGGTGTGCCTCAGGGTGGTGTTTTTTCTCCTCTCCTATTTCCTATCTTCATTAACTATCTTACACCACTTCTTTCTTGTCAATTTCATCTGTATGCTGACGACCTGCAAATTTATTCTCAAGCTGCAATTGAGGACGTGGATGAATTGATAGCCAAGCTCAACGATAACCTTATGACAATTTCCGATTGGAGTCGATCCTATGGGCTTATGGTTAACCCTGTAAAGTCACAAGCTATAATTATTGGTGGATCGAAACAGATTGCTAGACTCAATCACATTGTTGTTCCTCCTCTCACTCTGAATGGTGTTACGTTGATTTTCAGCAGTGTGGTTAAAAACTTAGGCGTCCTTTACGATTCTTCCCTCTCCTGGTCTTCGCATATCACTGAGGTTAGTCGCAAAATGTATGCTGCTACTTCCACTGTCCACTGAGAAGGTGAAAAAACCTGCTCCCACTAAAGACAAAAATGAGTTAGCACAGAGTTTGCTTCTACCGATTTTGGTCTACGCCGATGTATGCCTTATTGATCTTAGTGAAGAGTTGCTCAATAAACTTGAACGCTTACAGAATTTATGTATTAGATTTGTTAACGGCTTACGTAAGTACGACCACGTATCCGAATTTAGGCGTAAACTTGGGTGGCTCCCTATTAGATTACGTCGCGAAGTACATGTATTTATGAACTACGGAATGAAACAATTTCTTACAATTACGTTAGTTAATGTGAAAATGATCCGTTTTATCTTTCAAAAGTTATGGTGCAATAAAAATACTCACATACATACATTATGTAAAAACAATAGACTTCTTTTCGAGAGCAGTCGTGTTAAAATATTCGGGAATCGATAATGAATCTCACCATAGAAATACTAAAAAAAATACAAAAATTGGGAAAGTATTAAAATAGCTTGGTCGTAGTTTCAACACAGTTTTGTGGACTCGTGACCTTGAATAAGTTGTCGAGAACCTGGAACGCTTCAAAATACCTAATCTCACAGAGTGCAAATTTGTCATATGGCTCTAAAAAAAGCAGTACGCTTTTCGTTGTTGAAGTTAGTGCACGTTGTGTTGAATGTTAATTAATTGCGTAAGTTGAACTGTATGCGTAAATAAATTGCTACTTAAATAATGACTTTTGTTTATCCCTAAATAAACAATGTAAATAAGTTTTGTTATGAGGTGATGGTGTGTATATGTCGCAGGCATTTTGTGTGAATCTGCCGTTTACATATGGCGTCGTAAGTTTAGAAACACGCTCGCTGTTAAGTAATTTGCCGAAGGCAAAATGACAACTCGTTCAATTGTTATAATTTTAATGTTGTTTGTAGTTTTAGGGTGACCATGAACACAGTTTGGAATAATCAGAGTATGCGCTTTGGTTCTCATAAAGTACTGATAAAAACGACATTTATATGATAACCAATAATAATTAAATTTCTTAAGATAATATGATACTATCTAATTTACAATTAGGTGGTTACATTGATATTTTTTTGAAGTCTTGACATATTCATCTATCTTATATGACATTTCAAAGTAATTTTAAATTGTCCTTGTTATAATTTTGAATGTTTTGGTTAGTTCAATATCAATGTAAAATCCGTATTTCAATGAAATCACTAAATATTTCCCAATACCCTTCCATAATTCAATACAAAAATTTTCAAAGAAAAGGATATTCAATATTGTAAAAAGAAATCAAGAATATTAATAGGCGGGTTTCAATAATTAAATCAAGAATTATTTATTTGCGCATGTCAAACTTGAGTGACATTTGGACCAACTAAGAATATTCATTTTAAAACATGCACATCGGTTATTTTGACACTGCCTTTTAGCCAACTTGTATAAGCATTTGCTAAAACCTTTTTCGCCAAATAAAGATTCTTTAGAAACATATTCTCTTAAGGATATATTTAAAAGAATTTCTTACACCAAACTTAAACCAGTTTTTTATAAACCCATTATTGTGCCAATTTGGTATACGGTGTGTCTCATGTCCAATACTTTTCCAGATATATTTTTATTATCTAAGGACCCTCTATAAATTTTTGGGAAGTTAAAAAAAAACGATATCTCCAATATCTAGTGTTGCCTCGATGCAGCAAAATTTACACATCAAACACAAAACATTTGAGCCATAACCTTCTTTACCAATTGTTTCCCCGCAAATAGTGTGAGCTGGTTTAAGAAAAAAACATCATTTATGGGCACCACTAGTTCCGTCTTTACATACAAAGCATCTCAAGTGATTTTAAGGGTAGTTACCTCTTTTGAATCATGTATCACAACAGAATTTGGTAAAATAATGATGCTTCCGTCCTTTGATGACTCACTTATATGTTGAAGAGAGATGCTGGTATTAACAATATTGATAAACGGATTAATCGGCACAGGCAAATTAATTAAATTATTAGAATATATGATAACAGAACTGTTTGCGACTTGGGCAGAATAGTCTTGAGTTTGCTGCATCCAAGGAGCTGTCTAAAACTAAATTCCTATTTTCTACTGGCAGCGCAGCGATGGTAGCAAGTTCACCTACGGGAGGTGCATGATTTGTCATCATCGTTTCTGAGTTATTTTCATTACCTATATTTTTGAAATCATCAATATTTGAAGTCTCTATGAATATCGAATATTAAGTCATAATAATCTTCTAATGTTATTACACGAACCTTTGGACTATCAGGGCTATTTTTTTAGGATAAGGTAGTCCACATCACCAATACTCATAACCTCATATTTTTTTGATCAATAATATTGGGCAGGCGTCCTCCGAGTGCCAGATGCTATGGACACCTTAGCATTTTTAAGGTGACGGATTACATCAAAAATCTTCTCACTTGTCGATGGCTTTTTATAGCTCCCGTTTGTATATTAATATATTTTTTTAATTCACTTAAGTTACTGTCTTTAAAATCACAAGTATTTTGCAAACATTCTCCTGAACAAGCAGTATTTGCACTATTTTCAATATCTTTTTTGTGTCACAAAACCACTGATTGATGCCATTTTCTTTGTTATGATCAACAGCGACGCGAGTGGTACGAAACAGAACTAATTGTTTAATTTGCCGCGGCATTATGTAGATGGCGTTTGAACTATCAATCTAATGTTTAGGCATAATATATCGCACGTTGAGAATGACAATGTCGCTAACCAAAAACAACGTACTTTTTACTTTTGGCAACATTTTTCTTTGTTAAGTATAAACTTTAAAATGCAAAGATCCCTCCCTAGAAACGTAGCTTGCATAGAAACTACTAGGTGGCGTAGTGACGATACGTTGTTTAGAGGAGCTGATTACAGTTTCTTGAACTTTATACGCTCATTACTCAAAATCGCATTTTTTCACTATCGTTTTGTCACTATCGTTCTCAGCGTACGATATAATGAATCGGCAATATACATTTTTCCTTCGGCATATTACATAATAGCGAGCGTTTCTAAACTGACGACGCTGTATGTAAACGGCGGTTGCATTCAAAATGCCTGCGACAGATACATTTTCCATAAAAATTAGTTCCTATTTTTACCAGTGGCGGCGCCACTATCGATACCTACTATTTACATGGTATTTTACTAAGGCAATACCGTAAAGAGAGCCTACAAAAATTTATTTATTTCGTAACTTACACACTTATTATGTTAAATAAAACTATTATAAAAACATATTTCTTAAGACTAACAAAACATGAATACAAAACGATTTATTATAAAACTTTATGCTTATATCCCGCACATAATACATTCTAAATATTATTGAACTGCATTAGTTTTAAGATTGTGTAAATAAAATGTCGAGAAACGGTAATAGTATTGTGGTCTCGTATTATACATAAAACCTTCCTTTTGAATCACCCTATTTAAGAAAAACAAAAACCGCATCAAAATCCGTTGTGTAGTTTTAAAGATTTAAGTATACATAGAAATATAGGGACAGAGAAAGCGACTTTGTTTTATACTATGTAGTGATAACACAATGTAGCACGCTTATTGCATTTAAGCAATAAGCAGTTTTTAAAAACGCTTATTATAAATTGTACAACGTAACAACGCTTAAAAATTTTAAACAGTTATTTCCAACTCTACGCACATCCCTTTTAAAAAAAATTACTTTAGCTTCAGAAATCATGAAGATAAAATAATAATTAGCTTACTGTACTCTTTGGCTTCATGTTAGAAATTCAATCTATATAATCTGTGAATTCAATTTTGGTTTCCCTTCACATGTTCAACACGCATAAATACTTTACAAACAGTGCTGCCAATTTTGCATTTTTATGGCTAAATTTAGCATGTTTTCTAGTGTATTGGCATAATTAAATTCAGTTTAGCATATAGCATATTTTTTTAGCATTTCACTGAGAGTAAAATATCTAAAAATAATTTTCATTTTTTCTTTAAAAATATGCTATATATGTCTGAACACAACCTAAGAGTGTTCGTAGATTTATAGTCATAGAGTAGTCTTTGGTTAGATAAATCCCGCTTGAATATAATGAGTTTTTGTTGAGGAGAATCGATGAGGTCCCTGATCAAATTTTGCGAAAAATAGGGACTAATGTAATGAGGCTTATGCATCTACGTCATCTGTTCCATACCTACCGGCTACATCAATGGCTCAAAATACCGACGAGGGTCTTCGCAATTTATTTATAAATGCTTCTTTATAAAGATTTTTAATAAATATTCTGTTTCTCTAATAAAAGCATTTTTTAAGTATTTTCGAAAATATTTGGCATATTTTTGGCATTTTTTAAAGCCTATTTAGTAGAAATTATTTTCTAGAGTTGGCAGCACTGTTTACAAATAATGTATTAAAAACGGTAGTCTTTTACTATGTGGTAAATTGTTTGAAAAACTAAAATCTTGAAAACGATTTTTTATTAGGAATAAATGCTATTAAATAATTTAAATGAATAGTTTTCGATTTTGTTTAAGAAATTACAAATCTCTAATTCGTTTGAAGACTACTAGTAAGTATATTGTGGATATTCCTCTAGTTGATGGGCTTAGGGGTTATGTTGATGGGATATACTAAATTCCTTACTTTTTTCTATATAAAGTTGCAGATACACATTCAAATATGATTTCCCGATTACCCAAAGAAGCTGCCAAAAGAATTGTATGGGTTGATTTGGAGATGACTGGACTTGATATTGAGAAAGACCGCATTCTTGAAATATCATGTGTGGTAACTGATGGTGATTTGAATTTGGTAGCTGTTGGTCCCAATTTGGTGGTTCACCAACCTGACGAAATTCTGAAAAACATGAATTCTTGGTGTGTTGCTCATCATGGCGAGGTACCAGTATTGTATATTTCAAAAACCAATACTTCCTTCTTACTTACCTACTTCTTAAATACCATAGTAATGCAATGTCAGATATTTGATTTATTTGAGATTGCATTGGCTTAAAATTTTTTAAATAGAGACTGAAATTAAATGAAAATGTTTTTATTCAAGAAAGCTTGTTTCAAGAACTTTTGAATTGTCCAAAATATTTTCTTCCCTTACCACTTGTTCAGGTCCTCTTTTAGCTGACAAGAAGAACAAGCAAAAGAAACTTACCAGCTCTATCATAAGTAATGACATTCACATCAATCATGCCATTACCATAATAGTATGTATTATAACAATAAATAAAATTTTCAAAATCTGTAGGACATAAGATGGTTCATATAATTTGTCATTATAGAACAAAGCGAAGGCGATATTTTTCCATGCATAAGGCCACTAAGAATAGGTTTGCAAAGTGCTAATCTGGTCATGAACTGTTTTGTGTTTTATCTAAATGAATAAAAATAGGTACCCATATGATGTTATACATACTACATATGTATTGGTGTAGGTAATTAGGTAACAATATAGCTTAGTCTTAGTTTTCAAGAAACATATATATTATAAAATTTAAGTATTGTAGACCTAGATTAGAAGGCCTGAGCCCCTGCAGTGGGGACATAAAAGGGCTGATGATGATGATGATGATGATGATGATGACCTAGATTAAGAGCTAGGAATTGAAAAAGTTTGTTGTTTCAAATTTTTATTTTAACTTCCAGAGTGGTTTGACAGAAGCTAGTCGAAAATCTCAGATATCTATAGAAAATGCTGAGAAACAAGTTCTAGACTTTGTTAGCAGCCATGTTCCCGAAAAGAAATGTCCTTTGGGAGGCAACAGTGTATATATGGACCGTTTGTTTATACAGAAATATATGCCAAAACTAAACTCTTACTTACACTACAGAGTTATTGATGTCAGTACAATAAAAGAGCTGGCTAAACGCTGGTTTCAAAAAGATTATTCATCTGTCCCGCAGAAAAAATTTCAGCACAGGTCTACAGAAGATATTATAGAGAGTATAGAAGAGTTGAAATATTATCGAAGTAATATTTTTAAAAGTTGATGTTATTATGTTTTTATAGGTTAAATTTGCTATGTATTAAGTTTTTTATTAAATTAATGAAATTAAATGTCCATTGGGAGGTGCATCCTCTTCCATATTTTGATAAGATTGTTATAGAATCATGTTCCTTTCCTAAATATCATTTATAACCTTATATAAATGAAACTTGAAAAATATACAAAAAACTTATATATATCATGTTATTATGATACATATTATGTTATATATCATGTTATTATGATACTTACATAAGTTGTAAATAGCTGCTATAAATAATTCTGTTGCAAAATCTGGACTTAGTAATAATAGGTATAATCCTATAAAACTGCATTTTCAATTCTCTGAACTAAGATAACTTAAGTAAACATACTATATTATAGTTTACAGAAATATATTTCATTGATTACATATTGACACTGAAAAGTAAACACAAGGTAACCTTATCTGTTCTTCAGTTTGAAAAAAAATCTTATGAACACGTGGTTATAAATAATTGAACCCTAAGTGAATCAATACAATAATGTCATTTTTTTAGAAAACATTAAAAGTTTTTCTGCTCAACAATATAAGATTTGCGGCTTACTATGTGTTTACTTTCCAGCTAAGGTGATACGAAAAAATATTTGTAGTTTTTAATTAATTTGAAATGATGCTAATATTATTTGTTCACTTGTGTAACCTTTGCCTATAAATCTTTTTGATCACCTTAGGCCCTTCGATAAGTATGACGCTGACTATGCTACAGAACTGACACGAATTTCTAGAAAAATCTAAACATTTGATTTTACACTTGTCTTAAGGTTTAAAATCAATCGGAGATAGCTTTTTTGCCACGTCCGCATGCTTGTCGTCGCAAAGTACGAATCTACAAACGCGCAAACGTGAGCGCATCGCAAGTGCGTGCGGCAAAGCTACTCCATGCGTCTAGGGTTGCCAGGTCGCCAAACCCAATAGCCGGACAGACCAACTAGTTTAACCGGATATTTGGGTAGAAAGGCCGGACACCCTACATTATTGAGGATTGTCTCTCGTTATTATATTTTGATTGTTTTAGTATTCACAATGCCATACTGAAAATTATTCTTAATACAAAATACAAAATCCGGGCGACGGTTAGAGCAGTCGCCCGGATTGCGAAAGGTCGTGGGTTCGATTCCCATCTCAGGGTGCCAGGGACCAAGAGGATTTTTTAATCATTTTGTATTAAGAATAATTGTCTCTCAGAATAAGCTTACAATAATGTATTGTATCGTCGGGGGTGGCATTTCCGCAAGGAAAAACCCTCTTAAAATTTAAGAATAAAAAATAAAAAAAAATTACGACTACGACAAAGAGATTGTATGTAAAATCAAACTTTTTATTATTATGATAAATCTGTCGACTCGCCTGTGCTCGGCCACGCTCGGCGCGTGTTCGTTTGCGAAATAGTAAAGACCCTAACAAAAGTCGGACTAGCCGGTCACCGTTTGCGGACACGCAATCAAAAGCAGCTTTATCCGGACGCCTGGCAACGCTACATGCGACAAAGTGATTTGCGATCGGAACGAAGCGTGCCTATAAACGAAGTCTAACACTATCCACAAGTTTGAATTTGTGACAGCTTGTTGAGTTTTTGTATGCACCCTGAACTATGCGCTGTTGATTGTATAGTCGACGGCACAACTAGTTACTGCAAAAGCCGAAATTTTTCCAATCAATTGTAAACCTTTATTTTCTGTAATAAAGTTCAAAATAGTCTGGAGATATTTGGACCTTGGTACTTATTAAGCTGATGTGATGTGTGTAAACCAATAACCATTTCCTACCCCCCATGTGGCCAACAAAACCACAAAACTTCAAGCTACACTGGCTACACTTGTGTAGTACAAGTCGTTACTTGGATGAAGTAAAGTTATTATTTATTCTGTTTGTGATGTAACGAGCTTTTAGCTATTTAGGGCAAGTGGTGTATGTCTTATGTAGTGCTATTCTGTTATAAAGACAGTCGAAAGGTTTATTTCATTGAAGGACTGACATGTTCGCACTCTCTTTTTAATGGAATAGCATATTAACTTGTATCCTCTACTTTTATAGGTAGTAAGGGCGTAGCAGTTAAAATATTGGCCCCCCCGGCGGTATGCAAATTATTTTACCCTTAGTTTGAACCCCCGGCCAATTCTGATAAAGGCCCACCCCCACCAAGGCACGCTACTTCACTGATAGTTAACGTAACAAACAATTTATTCGATTGATATTCGAGAGAAGTTATTACTTGAGAAAATGTCCTAATTTAAGGAAATATTTTCAATCAATAGACGAGAACTTAAATGAAGTCAGAACTGTAAATATCTTATAATATTAGTATTTTAACTATTAACAGTTTTTAATTTATCCAAATTCTTGTTTATTTGGCAAAAAATTAATCTTAAGTATAAAATATTCAATCGTTTTGAATGATTTTACTTGAAACTTTACTAGAAACCGTATCGGCTTCCTGGCTTAACATTATCTGACATAATATTATCTATTCTTTATACAGGAAGTAAATCAAAACTTATTTCCTCTCCGTGCCTTAGAACTTATTATGTATTAATACTAGCTGTGCCCGCGACTTCGTTTGCATGGAGAGTAGCCTAAGTTATTCCTGTATTACATAAGCTATCTGCCAGTGAAAGTCCCGGCAAAATCGGTCCAGCCGTATAAGAGATTACAGGCAAAAAAATGTTAAAAGTTATTTTGGTATATGTATTGTATATTTTAACATTACAAACAAACATCTTCTGACTACTTACATATTGTTTTACCTATACATTGTTTTTCAATCTATATCTGACTTGCACCCAATACCCCATCTTACGTCTGCCCTCCTTTCTATTATTCTCCATTAAAGGTTGCCTGCAAGAGAGAGACAACGAAGTTACCATAAACACCTAGACCGAAATAATATAGAAATGTCCATTTTCTACGTTGACCTGACCAGAAATTGAAACTGGGACCTCAAAGATGAAACTGGCATGCGAACAACTCCGCTACGGATTTCGAGAATTTAACTCTAAGGCTCGTCGAATTATACCTACTCTATTTTTATTTTCTCCTATTCAATTGTTTCTATGTATTGTTTTTGTCTGTCATACAATTTATTATTATTATAAATCTTAGATTATATAATGTCTCATAAATATTATTTACAACTTGACCAACTGATAATAATTCATAGATTAGCAGTGAAAAACTAGGAAGACCCCTTAAATAAAATTTATTGTTAAACTCTAGCTTTCCACCAAAAATATGATGAGAATCGCTAAATTAGATAAAATAAAACCAATTTATTTGGTTAATAATTAAACCAAACCCAATTTACTTTTTAAAACGCACATACAGGCACATACCAAATTTTCAGGAATATAAAAAATTACTGTCAAATAAAAACATTTCTCGAAAAATAGCACAGACTTCTAATTAAAAAGGGGAAAAATTATTTTAAAAGCGGTTAAATTTCAAGATAAACTGAAGTCAGGTTGACGTTGTCTGTACGTTTATTAAATGATAGTCAGTTCTAATTTTTAGAATAATGTTTTTGTTTAATTATTTTTAGTATTACTTAAGATTTTAAATATATAAAGTAGTAGTAGTTCGTTTACGTCCATGGGACAGGCGAAGGTAAATATATATATTTAAATAAACGAAATTTCATTTACAATGAGTCTTTTTTTTATACTTTATAGGTTAACGCTTGACTACGATCCCACCTGATGATAAGTGGTGATGAAGTCTTGGGTGGTATAGCGCATTAACCTAGTAACAACAGCCTATTAACTCTTGATTTGATTTATTTTTTTTACTGAACATTTTATTTATTTGCACGACGTAACCTCGAAGGAATCTCTGAATAGACCAATAAATAAAAAATAATAATATAAATATATATATTATCGACAGCTCAATAAAAATAGGGAAACCTGGGTGCCAATTCTACTAAATAAATGTTGTTTAAATCGAATCGAAAACGGATCGAAACCGAACGAAACTACAGTTTTTAATGGTTTTTCTATTCTACTAAGTGACATACAATACAATTCCAGCTAAAATAGAACTGGAATTGTATCGTATGTCACTTTGCAGCATAGGAAATCGGTTTCGATTCGACTTAAACAAAATTTATTTAGTAGAATTGGCCCCCTGTAGTAATACGCGGATAGGGTGCATATGTATTTCCTAACCAAAATGTAAAGTATATTACTGACATAATAAATATATGCCCTAGAATGTCTATGATCCAAATCAAATGGATCAGAGCTATAGAACTTAAAAAAATAACAAAGATACAAAAAAGTATAGTCTATGTACAAAAAGGATATAATGCAAAGTACTACGCTATACTTTGTTTACTGCTGATATAAACATGGCATCAAAATAAGGTGATAGGTATATGATGAAAAACATATTTTGTTTTGTTATAAAAAGAAAATTAGTACTATTGATAGTCGAATAAAAAAAAATATTTTAAAAAATAGATTCATAATTGGCGGAGTAATTGCGTAACAAACACACAAAAAATCATACAGTTGAATTTAGAACCTCCTCCATTTTTGAAGTCGTTTAAAATAAAACTGATTTAGACATTAATTTTAAGAAACTAATTTTAGCAAAGCTTCATAGGAGCTCTGGCATTGTTCTTTCGAGTTAACCAACTACGCCTTTTAAATGCGTGGACATTGAACACCTTATGCTTAGATGTTCAGTCAAAGGGAATACGTTTATAAGGCGTAGCGTTGCGTTGTTAGGTGCTCTGCGTAACCATCAAAGGATAATTATTGCTCAATGAACTGCACCTAAATCACTGAATTTTATTTATTATGTATAGACGCTGTATCCGCTGTCCTTTTCTCGCAGATGTAATAAGACATTTATATTACCAATTACGATAATGTTTCAATAATAATCATCATCAGATAATAAAGTTTTGGTCACCCATCCTATGAACGGCCATTGCGAAAAGAGCGCCATCGAGCTCAATATTTTATAAGTCAAGTTTAAATGTACAATTTTAAAAGTCTGCTTTTGTTTTAAATAATTAAGTAAATAAACTTTTTTTATACAATTCTATTTTTTTATCATTCATTACCTATAGGTACAGTTACTGTAAAATTTCTTAAATCTACTGAAATAATATTGCGGACTAAGAAAAGAGGTGATAAAATTAAAAGACACAAAGTTGGTATGATTTTTTAACTAAATTTATTCACAAAATCTATTACCTTAGAAACCCTACTGTAAGTCCAGGTCCATCACTGTTTTTCCAGACAATTGGAAGGTGTGTCTAAAAGAATTTTACATTTCAAAAACCACATTATTTCGTGAAGTTTCGTATTAAAAGTACATTTGTAACACGACAAATATAACTAACATTCAACTAATATCTAATAAAACCCAATGAAATAATCAATTTGTGTAACAAAATAAAGATCAATATTACCTACTAAGATTTAGGTATTTATATATGTATATAATTACAATATGTATTAAGTAGGTACCTAAAAATAATATTTGATAAAATATATGTATTAGGGATTTACATATTTTCGTCTTTCTTAAAAACAATATTCTAGAATATAAATAGAATGTAAAATGAATCCCATTCCTTACGCTAGACGAAGACCATAGCTATTACGGGAAGTGTTTGTTATTATAACCTAGGGTCACCAACAATTTTTAAACAATTATGATGTAAAGTTGAGTAATAACTTTATTAATTGGAAAACTAATTCTTTACTTAAAAAACTAAAAAAGGTCCCATGATCATGCCGCGCAGTGCAAACAAGTCTTAAGATAATGCTGCGCTCTCATTCTCGCTATTTGCCTCAAACTCCATATCCCTATAACTGCGCAAACGTGAGGACGTTTTACAAGCGCTTACAGCAAATTTTTCATTAATTTGAGATATAAATCTACATCGATCGGATCGGCGACAGTCTCTTGTCTGCACAAAACAACTCAAACACTCGCTCTATGCACATCTTTTTATTTGTAATGGCTTACTGAAGTTTGCCAAGTGTCTAGACACTGCATAAAAGTTACAAAACCGCCGCGTGGATTTTAAAATACTTGACCATTTCCAGGTGCCTTGAAATCCAGAATGGATGCTTATAAACCCAAAACGCAACTTAAAAACCATCAAGGGTATCCTTTGACACTATGAAAACTGATACATGTCCTGGGAAAATAGGACGGTTGGCAACTTTATTGTAATTAATTCACACTGCGTCTCATTGTAGATCGAAAATTACACGACCAGTAGTTTAGAAGTAGGCATTATAGAAATAAATATTAGATAACATTACATACATAGCTCAAATCTCAAATGAATTACTTGAATTATGGACATCTGAAACAATGTAGATAACACAACAGCCAGACCCGAGACAATATAGAAAAGTTAATTTGTTATATCAAAGAACCAAAAATAAATCCAACCTGGGACTCTATATTCCTTACAACACTATAAGTTCCATTCAGTAAATACCTACATATTAACTATTAATACAGAATTAACAATTCTGGATAGTAAACATAAGATTTTTAGTCAAAATAACTACTGAAATGATTCGGAAGATGATTGGAAGATCGACTTCAAATATCTAGGTAATACTAATGATATGGTAGCGATTATATAAATTCGACTTTGCGACTTTTCAAAATGTAAAAACAAAATGGCAACTTACATTTTCGCGCCATAATTTGCGGAAGGAGATTTGCTAAATAAATTCGTACGCTAACGATCTAAAGTGTAATGAAGGAAGTTATTTTCAACTTTCTCCCACACTTCTATAATTGCTTTCCATGTTCAATGAAAAGTTTTGCGTTATTGAATTTAAACCTTAATGTATTGAGAGGCGAGTTGAAATCTCACATCACCACATCACCAGCCCTTTTACGTCCCCACTGCAGGGGCTCAGGCCTTCCTTATGGATGGTTAAGGAGGATGGGCTATGATCCTCCACGCTGGCCCAATGCGGATTGGAGGGTATTAACGACTGCAAATGCAGACGGGACTAACGGCTTAACGTGCCTTTCGAAGCACGGAGTAGCTCGAGATAATAATTTTTTTGGTCACCCATCCCGTGATCGACCCTTGCGAAAGTTGCTTAACGATTACGATCGCGGGCCACGGCGCTTATCCACTATCCCACCGAGCTACTCAAGTTGAAATCTAATTGTGGATATTTGTCATATTGTGGTAACCTGACGTTAATCCGTGTGTACAATGCTGAAATCTCAAATCAAGTAGCTATTAGCATTTGTATTATGGAAACCCAAAAAGATACTACAGCACAAAATAGAAAAGTTCGTTATCTGCATTGCCGCGACTGGGAATCAAACCTGGGACCTCAGATATGGTGACACCTTGACACCAGCCTGCCAGCAATTAGCCACAGATTGTTTAACACGTTATTTTACACATTACCAAAATTAAATAGACAATTAAAAAATGTCCGAAAGTGAATGTTTTATGTTCCATAGTGCAGTTTTATTTTTCTGTAAAAAAATAATCAATAGAATTAGGCGTTACCTTGTGGATTTCCATTACGAATACTTTGAAAACTATTCTCAAGATCAGCCCTTCTACACGCAGCCAGTAAAAAATGCTATTTTGTAAAAAAATCAAGCGTAAAACTTGAAGCCACCGACTAGAAGTTTAATCAAATAAAACCTACTTCAAAAGGTAATAAAATTCCTATTTCATTGAACCTTTATGCTGTAACAGCGCTGTCGACGTAAAGTTCCGAGATTGATTACAGAATAGCAGTCATGCTGTGGCGACATAACTAACAAAAAAAAGGAATACAAGACTTAAGTGTAAAATATTTAATAATAATGTTAGCATTATTTTTAAGAAACTAAGGGTTGGTGCAAATCTGACGAAAGATCCATGCGATTCACAGAAGTATACGTTATTACGCAACGGATGTTCCGTCAAGTGAGTGTACAAGTTTGAAATTCGTCATTTCTGACGTACCGCTACTCACGATATGTGACGTAATTTCATTCATATATGCACCGGCTTTGTATAAAAAAAATCCAGCTCTTTTATTTTAGGGACAGTTAGTTAACACACGCTTTAATTACTTTTTGTTAGTTTCACAAACGGTTATTTTTTTAGAAGTAAGATTTTAATGCTTTGATCAGATCAGTAGGCATTCATATAACATGTATAAATTATATATATATCATGCATAAATTTACACAAATATAACAATATTGGTACACTGAATAAAAATATTACATTATAATTCTTACTGAAGCAGAATAAAAGTGTATGCATTTGTCAGACTTGTTTTAATTCATAATTTGGCATATTTTATATCAAAAACCATGGCCCACAATGTCATAATATTCAAAATACTTTACAAGATACTTTTTATCACTATAAAGTCAATACAAAATAATTTAGATTAGAACTGCCATTGTAACAATAAGTACAGAAATTCATTCTATAAAGGAATAGGTAATTCACTACTGCTAGTTTTTTTTTTTTATATATTTTTACATTTAATACTAACTATTTGATACACGATTATAGGTAAGTTCTCATTATCTATATAACAGGGGAAACTTTAAAACTTCAAACAATTACAAAATATCTGTGTACAAACTTAACCGTGGTTGTTCTAAGTGTTCTAACGGTATAATAAATAATTTTCGTATACTAACTTTTATATAAAGTAATTATGAGGTAATTCCATTTAAAATCCTAATTTATTAAAACATAAATCATAAGTTCTTTTAAGATGAAATATTCAAAAAGTATACATATTTTAACAATGATTCAAGATAGATACTTCAGTTTATTAAACTTCGTCAATCTCATTACCTGGAATACTATTCTCATATTATTGCCGTCCACTGATAACAGTACACGTGGCTCGTGAAGGCTCAGCTGACTCGTTATCACATGCTACTACTACAAAGTGAACTTATTCACGCACAAACACAAACTCGTTGTAGTGATTCCAGCGGTTTTCTTCAGAGTCAACACCAGGTTTTAATTCAGCAGCTCCGCCAGCAGTGCCACTGCCACAACTAGCAGTCAGTTTGAATCCGTTCTCTTGCAACATATCGAATGCTTGTTCTATGAATGAATGTTTCAAGAAAAACCTCGACGTGTATCGGTCTGCCAACCCGTGATCGGGGTCTCGAGATTCGTTCAGAGTTTCCCCGAAGACATCTCGGCAAAGTGTTACTTTTCCGCAAACCAAAATACGTGATAGTTTGCGGAATTTGACGTCAGCCAATCCATCACGACCGAACGCAAAGCTACCTCGGTATCCGACGGTGATGCAACCGCGTTCACGATTAGGCGGCCTAGGATCTGCTTCTCGCACTGCATTCTCTAATCCGACTAACCTGTAATGTTTCGCCTCGCGAGCGAGTCGCTTGTGTTCTCTGAAACATTCTGGGAGAACGAGACCGCCGTCTCGGAGATAATCCAATACATAGCGGAAGAGTACACCATCGCGGTCGAAGAAGATGCGCCCGCGGGCGTCACGTGGATGCTCGGGGTCGCGCAGCGCGGCGGCGGGAAGCGATTCGGGTTCGCGCAGGAGGGTGTCGCGTGTAGTGGCGTAATGCACGCCGCCCACATTCAACTCGAGGACTTCAGGCGGCGCGTCCGCCATGGCTGAAGGCTGAGGGCGCAGTGAGTCGGCGGCTGCGCGCTCCCATCTCCTACCCTGACCCACTTACCGCGCGCCTCGCCGCCGCCGCCGCCCGCGCGAGTCCATCAATAACGCACGCCCGGGTTACTGACTCGAACGTAATTATTTCCTACCCTTTCGAGCGAAAACTCCTCCGTAAAAGCCTTCAAGGTCAACATCTATTGTTAGCTAACAGATGGTATGTTAACCGCCGATATTGCGGAAACTTCTAATAAATTACAACTGACTTTTCTAACTGCTTCGTGGAAAAATATTGGAATGCCGGTTGGATACTTTATCGCGCAATTTGGATTACTTTGCAAACTCAGAACTTTCATGGAGTTTGACAAACTCGTTAAAATAATACGACAGTCTCTCAAGTTCAACTGAAAAAATTTATGCGTAACTTTTAATTGTGCCTCTAACTAACTTTCTCACGATTCTTAATCCTCGACTTCAACCCCTCCGAAACTTATGGATAATTACAGAACTGTTCTTGTGGTACTAAACCAACACAAATTTACTATTACATATTATTGTAAGAGATTTCTTGTAAATATTATGAACTTCTTTACTTTTTCTTTAGGTATTAATAACAGAATTCGTTTGTTTTTAAATCTCATTCTTCTCTTTCTGAGAAATCTCTGAGATTTGATATTTAACATGATATTAAAGTATTATTTAAAGTGATCATTGGGAATATTTACTTCGAACAGCTCTAAAAACCAGCCTCTTAATTCACAGATCTATAGGCTTCATGATATTTCTTGTTAAATTGAGCAAAAACTACGTGTCTAATATTTTTCTATTATCTGATTGACGGAGTAAATAAGATTTCTTTTTTTTTTACCCTAACTATAATAAGGATGATGAACATCCTTATTGTAGTTAGTATAGTTATATGTATATTTATAAGATATACATGTAACTGAAAATATATCATTACTATTATGAAAGTTAAAACAAGACAAGTCTTTAAATAAATTAAACAAAAATCCCAACTGAAAGCAGAGTTTTTGTTCATCACGACTTTAATTATTGGTGGCATTTAAGTGACGTCTTGGGAATAAGCTTTTGTGGTCAGTTTAATTGGATGGAGGTTGACGCAAAAGGAGAATCTAATTATACATTTCCACCAACTTTTTGTTTGTTTAAGCCTCTTTAATTAATAGTCATGTATAAATATAACTTTGGATACACATTGATATGTGATATAAGAGTGATAATATAATTTTAAGTGGAGCATTTCGGAGTTTAAATTTTAATTGCGTTAACGTGACGCACAAATGAGGTTTATTGGCAGAAATTTAATGATTATAAGAGGGATGAAATACCCATAATAAATATAAAAACGGGACATTGTTACGGCTGTTTCTGTTTTACTGAGATAGATGCTATAATAAAGATACTTGACGAAAATAATTATTAGACAACCTCACATACATTGCTCCGGTTCCAAGATGGCCTCGTACTATAGAATATCTGAACCAAAGAAGGTACCACAACACCCAGTCCTGACACAACATAGAAAAGTCAAATATCTACATTGATGCGACCCAGCAGTTTCATTATTAAACCTTGAATATTAATCCCGGGCCACAGTCAAACGAAAGCAAACTAGTTGAAAATAGATGAGGTAGCTTTGTTTAAATATAGAGGTTCAGGGATATCTTATGGTTCTATCATGTTATTAATAATAATAAAGGCGATTCCCTACATCCACAAATTGCTCGAGTAGACTCACATGCCATATCCCGTGATCAACATGTTAAGAGAAAATTCTATAACAGCAATACTTTATTAATGGATATAATATCTCAAATTTAATAATGATTATTCAAATAATATTATGAATTAATATAAAATCAATAATATAATATATTTTCATTATCATCCTAGTTATTAAAATGCCTGCTGAATTTCAGCTTAATTGAATAGCGGAATGGGTCAAATTAAGCTTGCAAGCCAAAAAATGTAATAAGAGCTTGTAACAAAAGAGTAGCTCGGTGGCGTAGTGGATAAGCGCCGCGGCACGCGATCATAGTCGTTAAGCAACTTTCGCAAGGGTCAGTCACGGGATGGGTGATCAAAAAAAATATTATCTCGAATTACGCCGTGCTTCGGAAGGCACGTCAAGCCGATGGTCCCGGCTGCATTTGTAGTCGTTAATACCCGCTAATCCGCATTGGGCCAGCGTGGAGGATCATGGCCCATGCTCCTTAACCATCTATAAGGAAGGCCTGAGCCCCTGCTACGAAATAAAGGGCTGATGATAATGATGATGATGATTTTGCATCGTATTCGTCGATCATTTACTAATAATATTATAAAGCTGAAGAGTTTGTTTGTTTGTTTGAACGCGCTAATCTCAGGTTCTAACTACTGGTTCGAATTGAAAAATTATTTTTGTGTTGAATAGATCATTTATCGAGTAAGGCTTTAGGCTATATAGCATCACGCTGCAACTATTAGGAGCGAAGAAATAATGGAAAACTCGGACGAAGTTGCTGGCGGCCACTAGTCATGATATAAAAATAAACAAAGTTCTGTGTTTTAAAACTTTAATTTAATAAATTAAATAGTACATTCACAATTTTATTATGTCGAGTAATATAAAAACTTTCTACACTTCACTACCACGTTATTTTAATCTCTCATAATACTGAAATCGGTAAAGTTGTATTCGTTAATATCTTTCTGATTCCTGAATTCAGCCTTTTCTATTTGACTGCTCGGACTTCCGGTGGTCTTCAACCATTGCATCCTGCAAAGAGGGACCTCTATTCGACATTTTTGTGGCAACTTAGTTATACAACGTATATGGTTGATTTAATAATCTGAATAAAATGCTTTATATTATGCACTTTTTTATTATAACTTATCCGGCAGCTAAATATATAGCGTCTTACCAAATGGGAAGAAATCAATTTGGCGATTGATCAAGCCTAGTTTTAACCATAGGTTATCTAATAAAAAAAGAATTTTGAAAATAGCAGAATTTACCTACATAAAAAAACACATCAGCATCGAACATAAAATCTCCTTTGTAATTTTAAAGTGAATTAAAAATAAATTAATCTAAAATATGCAAAGTTCAATGTGTCTCGAATACAAAGCTTTTCAATATCCGCATACAATAAAATAAAATTACTTAGTGTACTTAATGAGGAATCTGTTAACTTTAAATGAATTGTATTACCTAAGACTAGATGTTGTCGAAAAGAAAACGCAGCATAAGAAAACAAAGCATAATATCCTTGTACAGACAGGCGGGGATTTGCTGTAAGACTTATACTCAAGAAGTATGTTGAAAGGAAAACAGTAAATCACCTATTCACCGAGTTTAAAACAATAGACCGCATGGCAAGCCGTGGGCGCTTTTCATAAATACAGGTCAAGTGCGAGTCGAACTCGAAAAACGCAAAAAAAATATTTACAACCGAAGTATATCAGTGAAAATTTCAACTGTCTGGCTATCACGATTTATGAGATGATGACTGAAGAACGGACAGCGAAGTCTTTGTTAATAATTATTAACAAAGACTTCGCTGTAATAGGGTCCCGTTTTTTTCCTTTGGGTAAAGAATTCTAAACATTGGAGAATATCATTGAAGAGCTGTAATCATAGATAGAGGCATCATTGGAGATATCTCAATTTGGGTCAAAAAGGTACACAGGAAGATTAAAATTTGCAATATTTGGGTTGTAGGTATCGAAAAACTTAATTTTAATTCAGTATTTTATCAGTTCTCACGAAAGGAACCAAGCACGAGTTCCAACTGATTCATTCAGTGGTCTCTGTATGCGCATTTGCAATAAAGTCCTAAGCGTCCTAAAATTTAACTACAAATTATATAGCAACCAAATTGTTTGGACTTGAGGTGTGCCTGCCATTTTGATAAGTAATTTATTTTTAAATGACCAAGTTGCTTTTTATTCATATTTGTTAATATTGATCTGATAAATGACATGATTTATGTAAATGTCGATACTTACGTTAGAGCTGGTGACTTTCTTTAGCCAAAAGACGTCCTGAACGAAGTGGTAGGTAAAAAAATGGCTTGGTTATGCTTCAGAAATTAGATATCCTGATGCTGTAATGTCGCTTTTTATTATTTTGACTAACCACAGGGCACAGTTTTCATAGCGATCTTTATTAATTATTACTTACATTGATTCGATTTGTTCTGATGGTCCCTGTATATGTCCTAGTACTGTTCCTTGTGACGTGTTTTTGCACCAACCCCGCAGGCCCAGTTTATCCGCCTGTTGCTTGGTGAACTGTTGAAACATAGCAAATTACGTTGATAAAATATTCAATGACGGCTCTCAAGTATGATAAGGTTATTTATATTCCCTAAAAAGTGTACCCTAGGGAAATTCCGACGGTTGTTCCATTTTGTTTATTACAAACATAGTTATTTGGCCGTTTATTTAAACATCAGTTTAAGGATACAGTAATCAACAAGGAGCTATTATTTATTTATTCAATCTTTCATCATTACCAGCCCTTTTACGTCCCCCTGCAGGGGCTCAGGCCTTCCTTACGGATGGTTAAGGAGGATGGGCCATGACCCTCCACGCTGGCCCAATGCGGATTGGAGGATATTAACGACTGCAAATGCAGCCGGGACCAGCGGCTTAACGTGTCTTCCGAAGCGGGGAGTAGCTCGTAAAAAAAAAAATATTCAATCTTTATGCCTATAAAATAGCGAATGACGGAGTTAATGCCAAAAAGGCATACTCGACCAGTCGAATCGGTGTAAATGTATAGTAAATTCAAAAGGAGGTATCAGTAAAATAATAGATTTGTTTCTAATAAAGTTAAGTTTTTTTCAAAGATGTGGACACCTTGAAACTTGCGTGCTAACCACTTTGAGGTCGTCAGCTCATATTACGAAGTATATTCATATTTTATATTTGGTGCAGAAGCAGTTCAGATACAACCAACAACGAGTTCAGGTAGACTATTAAACGAAAAATTTGAGTAGTTGGCATACAAGAAAAATTATTGAAGTTACTGGGCTTTTCAGATAGCGTATATTTTGGATGGAAATCGGCGACGCGCCTTTAAGTGACAAAGCGGTGTACCGTATGGGTCCATTCTTGGACTGTTTGTACTGTACATTCTCTATGATTTCGATTAGCTTAAATCTTTGAACTGTAATTGTTAGTATATTCGCTAAGAATAAAAAGATTTTTAACTGACTTCAAAAGAGGAGGTTCTCAATTCAACTGTATTTTTTTCTCTTTACCTCATTACTTTTTACTGGGTGGACCGATTTTGATGATCTTTTTTTATTTGGTCCAGATCTGGCAATGGCATCTATGAGAAAACCATATAAGTCTTAAATTTGCATAAAGTATACGTGATGTTTATTACCTCAATTTTCAGCATAGTATTTGTCAGACTTAAGAGAAGGTTTAAGGCATATTGACTTACTAAAAATATTTTTAGTGTTACCTATTATATAAAAATATCAATATTATTCAAAAGCATGAAATAAAAAACTTAAAAAAAAATAGAACCGACTTCAAACTTAAAAAAGTGAAAAATAAAACTTATCTCAAAAGCGACTTATTCAAGAAATTACTATTGAAATTGGGCCCCTATAAATTAATTAATAACCTAGAGAAGACTTCCGCCCGACTAAACATCAGAGAGAGCGAAGAGCATCTGAAATAGCGAAGGTACTACATAAGCCATAACCGAGAAAGGTAATCGAACCCGGGACTTCTTGAGATGGCGACACCTTGAAAATGTCGTGCGAACCACTCGGCTACGGACAGCTACTATTGTTAGGAGTACAGTAAAAAGTCCATTAATTTCTATGAAAATAATTCAAATTCAATTTTACCAATTAAAATCTTCCCAAAGGGCCCCGACTATGAGTCGTTCTGTTCTGTATTACTTAACAGAATTCTAAATTACTGGGCTTGTTTCTTTCTTTTTAGTTTTTATTTAAGTTAATTTTTTCATGTATTATTTAAAATTCGTTTTTACGCAGTCGGGTTTATTGTTTTTCTTTAAATTATTTATTTTAATTTATACTTTTTAGTTACGATTCGTTGACTTCGTTATAAGATGGTAAATTTCGCAATCTAGTTAGTATCGTGTTTATATCGTAGGGAGTTAATATCATGGGGATTATTAAGTAACTTGCGGTGGTCTTAACTACTGATGATTAGTCCCTCTAGAGACCTAACTCAGCTCAAAGCTATGTTATATATATAAACATATGCTTGACCTTTAGCAAAAAAGTTATTTTTTTAACAAAAATATTTGTTCTTCATGCTTTTTCACTGTTGTTGTTTTTTTTTGTATATCGTTTATACTTTAAATAAAAATTAAATCAATAAGTAAAAAAAATTGCGAGAATGTTTTGTTAAACAACTTTAAATCGTTATATATCCTACACTATTACTTAAAATGAAAAATGATAAAAGGAACCTAAAGATGATTTTAAAATAATTTTGATTACTGTCATGTCTTTAGTGACACTCGTAAGGTTAAGACGAATCAATTGACGTAAGAATCATCAAAATCGGCCTACGCATTTGGTCTCTAGAATGCCACATAGAAACAAACATACATACATAGACTGATAAACACATTACCCTCCTTGGCGTCGCGCAGTCGGGTAAATAGACAGCACAAACTACTATGAACAAAACTTTCTATGAACAATAATAGCCTCTGAATTACCCTTTTGTGCTTGTTTTCTGTTGATTTCTTATGTCATAAAATTAGTCCTGTCAAACACACACACACTTGATCACGCATCTTGCATACAATGTGTATGTGTGATTGCGACTCAAATGACATACATATTAAATTGGTCCAAAATAATGAAATAAAGAATACTATAGGTCTTCATTTTTGCTACAATTATAAACCAAACAATACAAATAACTTTTAAGTTGCTGCAATGTAATCCGTGCGCCTTGTAAATTGTTTGTGGGTAATATATTTAGCATCTTTATCTGTATGGTCCCTAGGGAACTGTTTAATGATATGAGGAGTAATGTTAATTCAGGTTAAGAATTCTCCGTTATTAAATTTCATCCAAATCCATTAGTAGTTTTCATACATCCTCACAAACTGTAACATTTATAATATTAGTAGGTTTCAAGTCAAGGTAACATAAAATAATGTAATATAGTAGTAGCAAACTAGTAAAGTGAAATATTCAAAAATAATTTTGATTTAGTTTAATGTTTTCAAAATTTTTTCAAAATATTATGATATTAAGTTTCCTTAGGCATTTAAACCCATTTTATTTTTTAGGACTAGACTCCCCCTACTGTTAGTCTTACAGTAAAAATATGAGCGCCACATTTTTTTGTTATGGATAAAGAAAAAGTATATGTTTTAAAACACTTCGAAGTGTATTTCATGTATATGTATATTACCAACCTACCTACTATCTTTTTATCAGTTTTACTGAATATGTACTTGTTGAAAAATGATACTTAAGCCGATAAATAATATAACTACTTACTTTTCTAAAAAAAACGCCTTGCACCCTGCCGTAAATTTCGAAATCGATTGCTTTCATTGTTGCAGTCACTGCAGTGCTGAATTCTGCCCTAATATGACTCGTCAAGATAGTTAAAAGTAATATTCGATACATTAGCACGAGAAAAAAATTGTATTTTTATACATAACGAGCAAAATAATTTATAACAGCTGATTTAATTTATAAAACCGAAAACCCCAATCCGATGAACTGAACGACTGACTCTGACAGCAATTGACATTGACACTTGACAGTTTATAAACCACCTTTTTATTGTATACCCCTAGGAACATGATACTTCATCCAAGATTTACAAAGTATACTTTTATTCTATAGAAGGAATAATCCCTTATTCTGTAACTCTGGCAAATTCTGAATATTTTTATAACTCAGTTTTAATAAATCGGTAATCCTTATAATAGCTACAAGTTCAATTTTATGGACATGAATGCTTACGATATAATAGTTTATCGCAAAGAGTATTATTATATTATTATCGTTACAATAGTCTAAAATTGAAGTTCAGGTAAAAATACGGTACTTTAGGTATAAAAAAGAATAAAAAATATTTTAATAATATAATTATTCATTTCTGATTACATACTAATTTGTTTGATAATATAATTTCGTGTATGATTGATGTAATGCTCCATATTCGATTAAAAATATAAATAGATTGCTTTTTAGTTGTAAAATTTAAGATAAGGATACTGCGGAGTGATGCCTTGTAACATTCAAATTTTCAATAGACGATTTGTAAGCGAAGTGTAGTGCTCAAACATGCTTTTTTTATAGTGAGGATTTATTTTATCTTGTCAATTGGTATCAATCTGTATTTAACCTACTTCAAAAAAAGGAGATTATCAATTTGAGGTGTATGTATTTCGAAGGTGTAATTTCGTTAGAGTGGTGTAAAATAACATTAACATATTGGTATGTTTAGGCTTCTAAACACGTGTGCAAATTTTTATAAATGTATGTTTGTCCACGGAAATCTCGCAAACTAGACATCGGGTTGCACTGATTATTTTTTATTTGATTGCATAGCTTCCAACTTAGGGTACACTACTGTCAAAATGGGTTCAGCAGTTTTAAAGATATAACCTATTAAAATTGAAGCTGCTTATAAATGGAGAAAATCTTTTTAACCAACTTAAAAAAAACAGGTTATCAGTTTACCTGAGTATGTACGTCATTAACCGACTTAAAAAAGAGGTTATCAATATCATTTGTACATTTTTAAACGATACGTCTGGCACAAACCTCGAAAAGAATTGGTGGTGTATCCTCTTATGAGGTTTTGGTTTTATCGAAGAAAAAATTTGTAGTATTATTTCTCTCTTCTCAGTCGTTTCTTTTTATTAAGAAAGAAGGAGGAAATCAAAGAAAATTAGGTTAAAATAAAAGAAAACAGAAAAGTAGCAATTGTTAGTTGGGCAATGCTTTAATGTCTTTTCTTTTAATGCTCTCCAAATAAAAGAATACTTAAATAAAACTGTTAAATGGATCGACAAAATAGGGATGGCGACTAATTTTTATTCGTTTGTCCGTCAAGTAGAGTGTTGAAAAATATGAAATACGTATTTTTTATTTTTCTCGTAATTATAAAATTACGGCGATACATAGAGTTGAAATTTCGCATGACGTCACGTTATGGTACGTTTTCTACAAAACTGTAACGTCGCAAGCCCCCACTCCTTAACTTTAATGCCTGTTTTCTAGGCTTTTTCTAGTTAAATTGAAGTAAAAAATACGTATCTAATATTTTTCTATTATCTGACTGACGGTCTAAATAGAATTGCATAATTTTTACCCAGTCGTCATCCCTATTGTGTTAAATGTATCACATCACTAGTTTTCAGTATGCAATAGACTCATAGGTTTAAGAGAAAAAAATAACAACAAAGAATACCTCAAGAAACAAACTTATATAATTAAACTGTTTAAAAGGGTAATTTTTTTTACAATCCATCCTAATACGTAGATATTAATCTACCAAGAATAATCGATGGGTGATTTTCGTATTTTGTTGCACCAAATTTGTGGGCTTGATTTTCTTTTCATAGACTAGGTTTTAAAAGTCACTCAAATAACTTTCTAACTATATTTAAAACATGAAAAAGTAAAACGTACGGTCAATTAGATGACAGCTAATTTACCTCAAAATCCCAGCAATAAACACCCCAAAATGTTGTCAAAATATGAACTGAAGAAATATTATCTATCGGTTAGTTAAAAAAAGGCAAAATATTATTTGTAAGTACTAGATATATTTTATCAATCTTTATATCATCATGATCATCACCAGCCCTTTTACGTCCCTATTGCAGGGGCTCAGACCTTCCTTATGGATGGTTAAGGAGGATGGGCCACGACCCTTCACGCTGGCCCAATGCGGATTGGAGGGTATTAACGACTGCAAATGCAGCCGGGACCAACGGCTTAACGTGCCTTCCGAAGCACGGAGTAGCTCGAGATAATAATTTTTTGGTCACCCATCCCGTGACCGACCCTTGCGAAAGTTGCTTAACAACTACGATCGCGGTCCGCGGCGCTTATCCACTACGCCACCGAGCTACAATCTTTATATAAGCTACGTAATATATAGAACAATTGTTCTTCTCGAAATATGGAATTTTGTCACATTGGAATTACTCGCTTTTTTTGGTGATTACAACTGTAGATTGTCAGCTTTGAGTTCCCGATACTCCTGGAAGGTGACAATATATTCTAAGAAGCCGTAAACGATGTAACTATTTCAGTTTTTATTTTTGTTATGAATGTAAAATATTGTATTGTTTTGTTATTTCTACTTATCCAATATGTAACTTGAAAAGATGGTTTTTTCTGTATAAGTTATTTTTTAATATATCCCTCTCTAGGACCAAGTATTATAACTAGTCTGTTACTTCAAGGCTTTTGTACTTATTTCGTGGATGACAGTTGGTTCTCTGACAACTTCTGTCAATTGGTCGTTCTACAAAATAAACTTCGTACCAGACGTCGATCATCGCCATCTTTTATTCATTTCATTTTCATTTTACATGTAAAAATTAATTTATTTACTTGACATTGGCAGAATTGTGCGAAATGCGCAGATAAGCCATTATTTAAAAAAGAAGAAGAAGAAGAACTTCGTACCAATTGTTTGGGTAAGATGATTTGTTTCATATTATTAGAGAATAATCATTAAAAGATAATGTATCTATATAATTATTTTATGTTACAGAAATCCCTTATATTCGTGTTTCATTACTACTTAAAATATGGCTTTCTATAGTTGTAGCAGGTTAGTTGGCAAATATTATGTAATAAGATTTGTTTTAAAACACTATTGAAATAATATTTGACTATTATTATTTCAGATTGGGTAGCAAATCTATGCTTGCAGCTATAAATAGGTTTCCAAATACATTGGTAAAAGTGAATTACGCTCAGGCAGCATCTGGAGTCCCTAAAATTTCATTTAAAAAATTTGAACCAACTCAAGAGGAACATCATGACATCAGAAATGCCAAACTCAAGAGGCCAATGTCGCCTCATCTTACCATTTACGCTCCACAGCTGACCAGTATGCTGTCTATCACTCATCGAACCGCAGGTAAGTTATTGTTTTTCTAGTACATTATGTGATTTCATTATGTGATGTGAGTGAAGGCTAAACTAGTTAGTCTGTTTTTTAAATAGTTATTTCATATTCACATAAATTTGATTATTATCTTTGTATTAAAATTGATACAAAGGCATTTCGCAAAACAATCAACAATTGAAAGCAAGTTTTATCTAATATCTTAAGTAAACAGCTAATTATTCAGGAATATTTTTTATGAATAATCATAGTAGTGTTTGTAATAGGATTTTAATTATATTACATTATAGGTATCATCTTATACATGTTTTTAATTAATGTTTTACACACAGTATGTTTAGACATTATTTGAGAGTGATTTTTATAAAATATTAATATGCATCCAGAGTTATATAAAAGTTTGTTTTTTCTTTTGCTTTAGGTGTAATCTTGTCAACTTATATCAGTGCATTGGGTATTGGTGCTTTGATGCTACCTAATGATGTTTCTCACTATGTTACTATGATTGAGAGTCTTAATCTTTCACCTGCAACTATATTCCTCGCAAAAGCAGTACTTGCAGCTCCATTTGGATACCACTTTGCTAATGGTATTAGACATTTATATTGGGACACTGCTAGAGGTCTGACTATCAAGGAAGTTTATTCAACTGGATATGCTATGTTAGCAGTTGCTGTTGCTACAACACTATTTTTGGCTGCATTATAAATAACTGGAAGAGATGATTTCAATGGTTATTATTTATTTTCATTCTCATTACTATTATATTAAGTGATAAATAAAGATCAAGTTGTTTAAAAATTGAAATTTTTTCTTTAATCTTACTTACAAAAAATTCTTAGTATTTTGTTTATAATTAATGGTTAATATTATAAAAAATATATATATATACTAAGCAACACCACAATTGCTGATAACATCATGGATTGTTTTGAATTTCTCAAAGTCTAATTTCTCTGTGGTCTGCAATCCCCTTGCTGCATTCTGTAAAACAACAAAAGATATCAATATTAAATTAAATTATAAAACAGTTTGATAATCAAACTGTTTTATAATTTAATTGAATTTATATTGCTATAAGGACTGCATTGTATTGTTTCGAGTTGCGGATTATCTTGGGTTTATGCAGCCCAGTATTACTGCGACCATTGCTCATCTATTGTGATCTCTACATATAAGGACTGCATGTTAAGTTTTGAATGGGTTTAAATGTACACAATTAATATTTTTTTGACATTTCTGATCTGACTATTGAGCATACAAATGATAATTTTATTTAGTTGTTTCAAGATAAAACTCGCTGATAGTATAAAAGCAGTTTAAATCTTTGATTTTAGAGTGTATTACTTGATAGTTAAGATTGTTTTTATTATATAACTTAAAGTTGTTTATTATATGACAACAAAACAAATGATCTGAAAAACTAAAACTAATAATGTCTACAAATTTTAAAGTTCTTAAGTCTGAAAAGGAGAAAATTTGTTTTATCAAATGATATTGTGGGAATATAAAAACAATTAAATAAAATATTTTTACTCACATTAAATATGACATTGTTATTCTTCAAGAATTCTCCATAAATATTGAATAGAGCAGGGCTTTCATCTAACAGTTCTGCCAGGCTCAAAGGGGTGTGCGCTATTGAAACATCTGACAAAAAGTCTTTAGCTGACAACCAGGTCCTCGAGGGGGCCATTGCGATGTTGCATGTGGCGTAGTTGTCGAGGTTATCGCGTCCACCAGATTCCCGGTTGAGGCAGAGGAGCTCGTATTGGGATGAGTCGAAGTTAGATAAGTCAGTACCTGAAGAGTAAGGATTTATGAAGTAGTTGATACTTCCAAGCTAAAATACTTGAACCTAATTCTTAGTGCCCTATATGGTCTATATTGACAAAAGGTTGACCAATATGGAGATATATCCTTTGTTTTCGATTCATTGAATGAAATATAAGTACCTAGATATTTCAGAGTGTCAATAAAATAATTTCTTACTTGATACGAAAGCAACATCGGCTCTATTTTCGTTGAGGCATTTCGACGGACTGTTATCACCAGTAGTGCATTGTTTCTTCAATTTGGAAACGTCATCGCCTGTGAAATGATAATATTGTTGGAAAAAATCTAGGAACAAGTATGCTGAATCCAAGTAAGTAACAATGATGAGATTATTGTGACAAGTTATTGTTAAAGAAAGTTTTCTACCTCTAGGATTGTTTTCAGCTTTATCAACGCCAGGTAGACATACACCACCCGAGAAGAAGTCGCCGAAGTTCTTCACGCACTGTAAAATAATTTGTTAATATGTATATCTTTACAGACAATGTATTGTGACATTTGCCAAGTAGGTATGAGCTAGAAGTGTTAGTTTTTCCAGAAATCCCCACTATATTGATAGTTAGATATACATATCAACTACAAGTCTTAGATTATCTACAAGTAATGATATTTATAAAGTATATGCTCTAGGATTATTCACCACCACCGTAACCAAATGGCACGCAAATTTTAAATTCAATTTTTAGTCGGGTCAATGCAGAAAATGTACTAAGTGGTTTCTATATTATTTCGGATCTCTTCTATATTATATGTTCTGTTACCTTCATTGTTTCAGATTTCCATCACAAAATGCTTTAGGTATTTAATTTGGGATTTCATTAATGTATGTGATATGTCTAATATTTCTTTTATTTTTTATTGCGAAGTTGGTAGTAATTCGGTAAGATAAAACGAACAAAATGTCAATTAATCTTACAACAGTTCAGTTTAATGCTACAAGGAACTAACGTACAACTCCTAACGAAGTTTTGTTACTGTTCTAAAAGAGCTGTTTTACAAAGTATGACAGACTACTGACGGTATAAGTTTTGTGTATCACTTAAAGCATTTACAGGATTAATATTTACTTGCTATATCAGCTAGGTTTATTTGAAAAAAAAAAAGCTATTTTATTCATTATTTTACAGATAGGTATGTATTTGATTTGTCTTTAGAAATAATTTTACTAACGGCTATCTATAAAGAGAAAAGATTTGGTTGTTTGTTGATTTGTTTGCATATTCAATGCAACTCATGTAAACAGTTAGCTTACAATAAAAACGACAGGTGTATGAAGAGCTCATTTGCGGATTGGTAGCACGTTTGATTTGCGATGTGGATCTTAAGTAACTTTCGCGATGGTCGGTTATAAGATGGGTGATCAAAAATTATTATCTTAAACTCCTACGTGCTTAGCAAAAGCTTTGCCACCTTTTAAGAAACATATTTGGGATACTCAAACGGTTATCATAAGTAATCGGAACTCAGTTCAAAGTGTATCATAGAAAAGTTTGCAACGCGATGGGACCTGCGCGGGGATATCTAAGGCGAGAGTAGAGCGTTATCAAAAATCGGGACAAAATTTATAAAAATCGGACGCCGGACAACATCATTGAAATCGGATCTGTCCCAGTCATTTCGGGACGGGTGTCACCCTGTTTAACAAATCACTTTACATCTGCACTTGCTTACTACTACCCATCAATTCGCACCGGGTTCATATTGGTGGGTGCCCTATATCCTTATTTGATTCCATCCATAGTAAGGCCTGGGCCCTACATTGGAAATATTTATTAGGCTGATGACGACATGTGTAGGTATATGTGAGATGTAGTAAGTACAGGGCCGCCACATATCCAAGTCGGGCCCGGGACCAGATTCTGGCCACGCCCCCCCCCCCTTTTTTTTTCGTCGCGCCACTTTTACTAGAGAGCCATCTCTAGTATATAGATAATTGTTAAAAAAACTATTCTAACTCTACTTCTAACCAAACAATAAATCATTTATATTTCCTACCAAGGTTCAGTGTTCGAATAAGAACACTCGAGGGGACTGAACTCACTACGTTTTATTCTACATTTAATTTTATTTTAATCAAATAAATAAAAGAAAGTGTAATTTAAGAACTGAAAATTCAAGTATTCATAATACCAACCAATCATTTAATTACCAAGTAATTACCAACCAATTACAAAACCATAAAAATGCCATAAATTAGCATGAAACGAAAATTCTATATCCAATCAGTCATAGGATTTTTTATTTTAACTAATTTAAATACAATTATTGGTGAATAGACGGCGTATTCAGAGAAGTTCCAATTTACTAATTCCTCAAAAGTACGATTGTGGCAGACATTATGATTGACTAAATTTTATATAATCATTATTCAACACATATAACTAACTTTATTTTAATGTTATGGACGGATTAAAAAGGAAAGTCTCTGTATACAAGATGGCTGAAGGAATTAGTTGAAACAACGATTAAATCAAATATAATCTTATCAGGGCCCGTCAAGTGTAATACATTCTTTTTTATATAGGCCTAAAAATTCTAAAATACTTTATTTACCCGGGGCAACAGTACCCGCTTGCCCCCCCATGTGGCGGCCCTGAGTAAGTATAGTAATTGATTACCTGATCTGATTTGATGATTTTCTTGTTGATAAGGTAGAACAATGGTGCATCGAGACCACTGAAGGTTCCGTAGGGATTGTGACAGGACCTAAGAAATCAGCGATTATAAATTACCTATGTTTCTTCACCACTTAAGATTTAAAGATAATATTTTAGTATCGAGTTTGTCTGTAATAGCGGCTTATCAATACAACTTATTGTATCATAGAAATATATGAACTTTTAACTTTTATACAAGAGTCATTTTCGAGATAGGTATATTTTACTTCGCTTTATTATATTATATATCTTTGGGGGAGGCCTATGCCCAGCAGTGGGCGTCTCTCGGCTGAAGTGATGATGATGATAGTAGCATCAGCAGCAGACGATTTGAAGTAAGGTACCTACAGCAATTGAAAGCCGCCTAAAATTTCGTGTTAAAATACTTCTATTTCTTTTCAAACTTTACTCACACATGCATAACCAGTGTATCTATCGGTGTTATTCTTGTATGAGTAGCTTAAACAGGAATAGAAGTAGATTTGAGCACGTAAATTCAAGGGCAGGCCTTGATTGCCACAGGTAACTTACCTATTTGAAATGTCGGGTTAAAATGTTTGCTCTGATAATTTGAGTTTTAAAAATTCAGTACATTAAAAATAAGTTATTCTTTGAACATGGTATTCAAAATAATAAAATTTTCAGACGAGCAGTACCTAAGGAGTTTCTTTTGTCTTTGGCAAATATTAGTCTTTTGTTATTTTTTAAGAGCGTCATTTCAGTGCTTTGCCTAGGGCGGCGAGTTTATTTGAGCCGGTACTGGTCATACCTCTTTCCTCTCAAGTCTTCCATCTTATTATACGTGGTCCCCTTCTTGACTACAGCGACGGCGTATTTGGGGGTCTTCTTATCACCGTACACTTCGTGGAAGACCGCATGGAGGTTATATTTGTTAGCGGCGGCTGCCACCTTCGAGTCGTCCACTGAAGCTAGGTCAGAGCCGTTATCTTGTACCTGGAATCGGTAGAATTCCCAGATATCGAAATGGATGATAAAGACAAACCCCCCTGATAGTGCATCGTCATCTCAGTGGTACGGGTTCGATTCCCGGCCAGGTCAATGTAGAATGTCAGTGTGTAGTCTCGGGTCTGGGTGTTGTGTTACTTAGTTATTTCAAATATCTATAATACTTTGATTACTTAATTTTGCATCACAGCAAAATATGTGATGTCTAATATTTATTATCATTCATTAACTTCACATGTTTTATAGTATACAATATCATATTGTTTCATCAGAACATTAGAATTATTGCAAAAAACTATTGATTAGAACATTTGATTGATTCGGGACCTAAGCTCCATAAGCCACAGATTATTTTGATTGAATACACAGGAATTTTAACCGTGAGGATGGGTTTAAATTGTGGACTGTCTGGGATTCAGTGGTTCGTATTTGTCAAAACCAGCAGATAAATAAAAAAAAGTGTTGCTTCGCTATCGGATACACTGAGTGTTGTGTGTCGAGAACATGTGCGCGTTAGTTGTGACATAGTGAGTAGTGATACGGGGAATCGAACTTAAAGAACTCGAAAGCAGATAGAACAAAATATCTGCAAATAACACACATCCGCATAAACCTTAGTCGCTCTGTGATCATGGCGCTTGCAACAGCGCCAAAATATCATTGAAACGTTTGAAAAATGTAAATGTATAAAATTTTAATAAAATAGTAGTTAATTATAATTACGCTCTTTAAGCAGTCTGCCTCTGAAGCTTCTTGCACGCAGTCGAGTTTTGGACGAATGTCACGGCTGAATGCGAATACTGACATGGCCTGGCACTTGGCTAGAGCCACGTTTGATGTTACGCATAACCTAATAGAAAAACCTTTAGATTAAAAAAATATGCAGTGTTAAAAATATTAAGGAATCGTTAAGGTACTAAAAAGTCTACAAAATAGAATTATTAGAAATAATTCACTCACAAGACATTGTAGGGTAGAAGACCCGCTTTTGGCCACTGCCCCGTTTTTGGCTTCTTTGAGCTATTCTAACCAACGCATAAGTAAACTTATTACTTTACCGTGAAAACGGTTTTCAAAATATTGCAATGTAGCAAAACTAATACCGCTGATGGATGTGATGTGTCAATGTTCACTTCATAATCTTAAAACGGCTTAATACCGGGTCATCTCCCCTAAAGTTTTAGGTCGATAAGGGTTCACCAGTTATTTAAAAAAAAATGCGTAGGGCATTTCTCAACACATTCATACACATGTTATTAATAGTGTAGCTTTATATTACCACTACCTATTGGTAGCACACGGAATAGGTAAGCGAACCAACAGAGGCCTAGGGCTATTGGAAAGGCCCTTTTGACTGTGAGATACGGAAAGAAGTTTCCATTTTCAACTAACCTATTCGTGAACACTCCGTAGATGTTGCACGACTTAAAATGATTAAACCCAATTAAACCCATGTTCTTGAAATACTAATAACTGTTTTTAAATTATTTTAAAAACTAAGTTATATTTTATTGGTGACGCCTAATCTTTAAAATATTTCTTCAAAATGTTGAATATTTACGAAAATTTTTGGACCATCATCTACTAAAGGCGTTAGTTTAATAAAAAAAAAACATTTTTGTTAATCGAAACATCAAAACTACTAAGTGGTGAAGGTTTGTAATAAAACCTTATTAGTATTGAAAAAGATAGAGATCTGGCCAGGTAATTGCAAAGGAAACCACGAAAACACACCGTCACAGCCGTATATTAGTATTACCACTGAAGTTTTACATTTGTTTTCGTAAGTCTAAAAGTATGAATGACATTTATTTAAAAACTGAGAATTTAGAAGATAAACATGCCAATAAGGTTTGCGTAGCAGGTCACGAACAAGTATTATAAATGTTTTGTGCATTATAAGTAAATTAAATCAATGTCATTGCGAGTTTACAAAATCTATGGCCTACAATAAAATATTTTGGAGGGTCCTCACACTAAATTGTCTCCAAAACGCATAATTTGCATAGGACCTATTAATATTTCAAGAAAAGCCAATTCTCAGGTTGTTATGTATGTATACAAAACAATTCTAGCCTAACAACCTTACAGCGTACAGGCTAAAAACCAGAATCAACTGCAATCTAGATTATAAAGAGTCGATTAAGACTTATATCACTATCAGTAATCACATAATGATTTACCTGTTTTAATGGTAACTGTGTATGTATCCTCGTTTGAGTCACATCACGCAACTCGGCCCTTTATAAAAGTTGCTAGCTCATTAAGAGTCGTTAGCCAAGCGTATTTCTTTGTTTTTCTGCTTTTTTGAAACGATACTATCTCGAGTAGCTTCATTATACTAATAGGTGACCTTGAAAGTTTCTTGTGCGCTGCTAATGTTATCACTACGTACCTAAGTGTCTTGTTGTTCAAGTTAATATAATCAGACTGGGGGGATTTAAATTGTTTGATTGCTTCCAGTGAAAGATACCAGATGCTAAAATATATGTTATTAGGGTTGTCATTTATTTGGGATAATTTAATAAATATTTTAAGCAATAATATTTTGTAATTTACAGAAAATTACAGTTTCCGATTTTGTATGTGATTTTAACGTAACGGTTACAAGACCAAAGGGAGTCCTTAGTAGTGGGAGCATCAATAGACTGGTGATTATTCAGAATGATAAAATACAATTGACAGCAAATAAGTTTTAATTTGATAATAGTTATTTCAGAAATATTTCTTTAAAGAAGGAAAGTGGAATATTTCTTATTAAAATACGAGCGGCAACCCTACAGTACAGATGACTGAGTAATATTGGTAGAAGGTAACTTGTTAAAATTATTCAGAATAATGTACCTACTTGGATATTCTTATAACAATTTTCCTACCGTTGATTAATTTTCACGCGTTTTTCCTTGAGGTTACGAAAACTATGACTGTATTGTCTTAGTAACCGCAGCCAGATAGAATAACAGAATTCTAACACAGGAAAAGATTATAATATTCTTGTTACTGACATTCGTCATTGTTGGAAAAAGGTATGGCCTCGTTATTTATCCAAGAAAATTATACAAGAAGTCATTGTTGGCATTTTTGTAATAATGATGAGCTGTATATGTAAATAAAAATGAATTTTAAGCGATTCATTTTTATTGTCGCTAACCGCAAAACTTGAATACGGCCACGAATACTCGGCTAAACTATACACGGCTATATTTTTTTCAAGATTCATTGAAGTTCAAAAAAGTTTTAAGGTGAGAAAAAATTGAATGGTTTGGAGGAAAATTGTCAAACTACATTTTCTTTTCCTTTTCCAAGCGGTACGAAGTTCGTAGGATAAGTTTGATTAGGTAATAGTTTTAAAGGCTCATAACAAAAACACGTGAGGGCCAAGTATATCAAAAATAGGTATATTAGAAACACATATATGCTGCCCAAAATAAAGAATTGTCAAAAGACAATACAAATCGAAAATATAAAAAGTAAATCTATAAAAAAGGTTGCCTTCAGAAACAAATCTCTTTACTATCAACGATATTTTTCTTTAATATAAACATTTTTTAAAAATTGAACCATCTTCAAATGATCTGAAAATATATCACGAAACTTCTATTAAAGTCGGGTGATTAACAAAACCTCCGCCTGTTTAATAATAGTTTTATAAATTATTTGTAACTTTTATCAAGTCTGTTTTGTTCTTCAAAAAACTTTTAAGGAAAATTGTGAAAACAACGTTTTATTTTCCCATACTTTAAGCCACTTTAATTCGTAGGGCAACTTTGATTTATAGTAGGCTTCCCAAAATAGATTTAAATTAATGTGAAATCTAGTTTTTTTTTCTATAATTTAACAAGTGGGGGTTTTGACACGGCCGAATGACCTTATGTGATCGGCCTTCGGCGGGTAGTTCATTGCCTTCGCGAGGTATGACTTGTTTCAATAGTTAAAACCGGCATATAAATATTCACACACTGTATGCGTTCAGTGTAACTAAAAAGGCAATTGGAGTCAGGTTTTAATTTGTGATAATTTAGTTTGGTTGCTAAAAAGTCATGACATTTTATTTATTTCGAATCAAAAAGCTACGCACTTGTTAAAAGATAGTTAAATATAACATTATTAATCCACATTGGATCTCATATTGTATGATAGAATGCAAATATCAGCCGCCGGTGTTCCACATGGTTCAATTCTTGGTCCTTTTTTATTTATAATAGCTTGACTTATTTCAGATATCACAAAAAAAGAATGGAAAGATGGAGAAAAGAAAAAATAGATCACATATTCATAAGCTAAATTTGATGCTAGCAATTGGGATAAAGATAGTTTTTACTTTCACTTTGTTATTTATCATCAAAAATTAATATTAATAATATTAATTTTTTAATTTTATTTTTATTTAATTTCAAGAAATTTTGTTATGTAGTAAAAAAATATTACGTGGAAAATCCGATAGTCCTCTGAAATATTAAATTAAATTTCTCCCGATCGAGATACAACTCTCACTTTCAATTTTCCTGAACAAAAAAATAGTAATAATGGTTTCAAAGATGTAAAGAGATGCTGCAGTTTTTTTTACCTGACAACAGGTTCAGGTGGACCATGGCCGCGCTCAATCACTTCGGTGTAGTTGGCTTTCTTCAAATAGTCCACTGGTTTGATGGGAACGTTATCAGCTACGTAATTTATTTTCTCTGTAAGTCCGAGGACGTTGGTGAACCAGTCTGCTTTCGTCGCGAGACCTAAACACGTCCATGTTAATATTACTAATATTACGAAAATGAAAGTTTCATTACGTGTTTGTTTGAGTTGAATAGGCTCCTAAACTACTGGACATAAACTATAATATACTAGTCTGAAATCGCGGGAAAACAGCTAGTTCAAAAATAAAAAAATAAAATTTTAATGGGTTTAGTTGGATATTTTGGAAGATAGCAAGGTTTTTTAGTGATTCTGAAGTTTTTCTTGGTTGTATATATGCTATGGTTGGAAGTACAGCGATAGTGAATAAATACACAATGGAAATAATTGGAAGGCCTAGGGAATCTAGGCTTTTCTAATATCACAAATCTCTGAATCTCACGGTCATGATTTACTTTGTCATCTCAAATAGTGACAGATCTTCTCGTTTACGTGGTAAATATATTTAGATTTTACATTAAATTTACAGTGTAGGCAAATAGTAAGCTCTTACCTGGTAATATTGCTATGTTTTAGTAAATTTAAAAGAAATCTTATTGTATTGCCGTATCATTTATACAAAAAGATTCCCATCAATTATTCTACTATTTGAGAAAACTGAATGAAAAGTTCGCTATATAGTTTTGAGTTTATCATGTTTGAATAGACCCGATACTTTGTTTTATCATGTGTGGACTTAATTTTGTCTTTCATCTTTCAAGTTTTCATCTTCATTAACCATCAATGAGACTTAGATTACGAAAAATGTTACTGCTTAGATATTATTGTGTAATTCGATTTTATTATCGAAAATTTCATCTTTTCACCCACGTATCAAACCTAATTTGCCAGAAAAGCCAATTGACCTGTGAATACAAAATCTATATTGAAACCAACGTGCCGGTGCGGTTTATTTAACCGTAGCTCGTGGAAAATCCGTTAATTTAATAATGGATGTACGCAGCTGTACCTACACGTCGCCATTTGCCGAAATATTTTCACACCAATAAATGGGAATCGTTTGAACCCGCCTTTTAATCCTCCTATATACGAGTACATTTGCTGTGTAGATATCGATCTTTTTTTCTTTCTTATTTTTACCGTTGTATAAAAGTTGAAGAAAATGCTAATTACATAGGTATAGGATTCTATTCCTAGACTGAAATTGAAATTTCTCCAAATTGATAGAAGCGAATTAAGTAGGTATACATGATAGCCGTCATATATTTATAAGTCAAAGTGAGTTAGTTGGACATGTACAGCATGAATTAAACGTGAATTAGACCTGTTTCGTAATTCATTACTCGTCGGTAAAGAATAATTTTACTCATAAATATTGGATGCAGCATTGAACTTGAAAACGCGTCTAAATTCGAGGCAGATTGGCCCTTCTGGACAAGGTCTAACTTATTATAACACTCAAAACTTTGTTCTATTACTTTTTGACAAAGGGATACTATTTGGGGTAATACCTATAATTGGGAACTTGGGCGTATAAATTGACTTACCAACTTCAGAAAGCTGCTTTATCTTCTCCCTCAGAGGTGATATTTTAGCTAGTACATCGTTATGGCCGAGTAGACCTTGCCAAGGCCTTGCGGCCCATGAGCAAGCTTTGTTCCTAATTGGCACCTTTGACCCATCCTCGCAGAGATACGCAAATTCATCAGGGTTTTCGTTGGACGGACTAGCTGGGATTGTTCCAACTGGGAGCTGGTTATTGAATTAAAAAAATACTGTTAAAGAAAATTCACTGTTTTTGAACGATTGATTTCCAAAGAAATAAAGTGAAATACGTTTAAATAAATTAAGTTTTCTCCATAGATCAAGGTTTCGAAACGAAATATTTTACATTTGGTATTTTGTAGGCTTTCTTAGGTAGCACTTATTACGTTCGTTTTTGTTCTAAGAACATAACGATATACATAAATGGTAAAATACTTAGATTATGAATAAACTTTCTCAAAGAAAGTTTCTTAAAACGTGTACTTAATTTTGTTGGTTTTCTTTTATAATAACTATTGATTAACGAGTATCAAATAAACTATTCTTAGGAATTTGTATTTCTTTTAACGTTTTAAGACATTATAATATAATTATTGTTTCATCCATCAATTTTTACACTATTTTTATGAATAATGGTGAGTGCATCAAAGAAAATTTCTATTACTTATTACAATATCAGTTTTAAATTTATAATACAGAAACTTTCATTTCCAGGGAAACTTACCCCGAAGAATTTGCGGACGTAGATCACTTTGGTAAAGGCAACTTGCCCACCGTTATGCGCTAAGCACCTCAATGCACCTTCGTAGCCACTGTATTTGTCTGGGTAGTTACATTTGTCGGGATGTTCGCATAAGGAGCATAGCTGTCTGTATTGTGCCTCTAGAGGAGGAAAATAATATTGGACTTAAGTTCATTATCAATAAATTTTAATAGATTCCCGAAATCCTACCCTTTTCTGAGTCATATGTCATGTCAAATATTAAATTAGAATTAAATTAATTTATTTTTTATTCCTCGCAACATTATAGCAAAAAATTTTAAAACAATACTCATCTTTATTGTTCATGAAAATTCTATTGCAGTCGAGAGGAGATTTTGTGTACTCCCGACTTCAATCACACATTTGGAAATTTACATATATACAAGTGGAACATAAAACCTCCAGCTTTTCGATTTCGAATTCTGGTTTTTTAAGTAAAAAATAAGAGGAGCTATAAGTTCCAGTCCGGTGTCATAGGTTATCAGGGTCCTTCCGGACCCTGTTTAATAATTAATTAAGATGATAAATATTCCAAATTACAAGTCATTTCTTTCTAAGTTAAATGTTTTACTTCCCGTGGTAGGTAATTTTCTACTATCATTACTTACTCCAAGCGCTATTAGTTTTTTTGTCGGGCGACCAGTCGCCGACTATGCATGACTGCGAAAAGAAGGTGGATAACGCCCGCAATTCATTCTCTTTAGGTGATATGCTGTGGTCATTCATCTTGGGGAATACGGAACGCTTCATCAGCATTGTTAGAGGAATCTGGGAATAGATATTTGATTATTATATTTTGCATTCATAAATGTCTTTAATAACGTTCTTGGGAAATTCGTCAGTCCTGTTGGATCTCGGGTAGCTCGATGGATAGCAGTCGCCCGGATAACCCGGATTGCGAATCGAATCCTATCTCGGGGTATCTGAGACTGGTAATTTTTTATGCATTTTCCATCAAAGATAAAAGATAGGTAGATATTAGAAATATCATGACGACGCATAATTTCGAAATTTTTGTCGAAATAAATAATTATTAAATAAGAAATAATATTTTAAAAAGAATTCTTTTGATGAGTTTTTTTACTAATTAAATAAAGTATTCAAGTTATTGTTTATTATATTATTACCGCAAATATTATTTTGACCTTTATTCAGCATATTTTCTATCTACTTTTATGTTCTCTCTGTGATAGAAAGACAATATTTCCCAACAAAAGCTCTTTCGGCGCAAAATAAGGTTTTTCTGAACAACAAATTTTTCGATTTCGTGAAAGGAAAGGCTGCTGTGTTATTGAGGGATACTTTGAAATCGTAAATTGAGGTCGGGTAAAAAGCTATGGACAGTTGCTATCACCCGTAATGTCATAAAGAAAATTGTTTCTTATTTTCTTTGTAAGGTGTATTTTAGTTGGTTATAAAAACTTTTTATAAAAAGTAGAACCGACTACAAACTTTAAATAATTATCTCAAGAGCGATTTATTCATAGAAATGCTTTCGAAGTCTGGTGGAAGTCTCAATAAGTTATCAATTAAATGATAGGCGCTCAACTTCAATAGCATTTTCTTGAATAAGTCTCTATGACTTTCATAATACAATATACATATTCGATTAACATAGAAAACCTTTCTTTCTTTTGTTTTTTAGCTGAAATGGGCCATGTCATAACATATGTTGGAAAGCGTATTTGTTGTGTTATAAATGGAACACTACTAATTCGATTTTAAATGGAATGGAAAATTGAAATGGAACCACCTCGATCCATCAAGCTGTCGAATAAAAAAATAATTTAAAAGTCAGTTAATTTTATTGACGAAAATATCGGGAACATACCAAAAAAAACTTCCTATTTTCAGATTTTGAAGACGGTTAAAAAGTATCTAAAGAACGATATTTCATAAATTATAATGTTATGTTTTGTTTTCAAAAAGGAAAACGGATTCCTTATAGTAAGTTGTCTGTCTTGTATGTTCGTCCTGACTGAGCTGACTTCCTCCGAAACTATTGGATAGATTGAGTTAACAGACATCGTGCATTGTATATAAATTAAGGCCTCCTTTGGGAAGTAATTAAGGCATTAAAATAAATTATAAAATATATTATAGTTATTGTGAGTGTAAATAATTTAAAGTCAAAGAGAACATCTAATTTTTGAATTAAAAACTAGAAACTATAGTTTTTAATTCAAAATTCTTAATACATTACAGGAAAACCTATTACAAATTTAGAACTTTATTAATAAAATTCAATATTCCTCTGCGCACTAGGGCGTTTTTTGTTGTAAGGAGTTTCTGGGTGTACGATTAATATAAAAAGGTAGGGGAAGTCCGGGAGACTTGAACCTCTTTTTACTTGAATTATCATATGTATATTCGTATAGATTTGTCGTAGAGACTAGATTATAATTTTAATTCATGTGTAATTTATATAGACTTGTTTTTGCATCATTACTTTTTAAATATTTCAATACTGTAAATTGCTAAGCCGAATTGAAGTATAAATGGGAAATGGATCAACTCTCCCCACAATGAGGGACATATGATCAAAAGTCTGAGGAAACTCGTTATCAGGTGTTTTAGTAATTTCTGTTTATATTTTTAGTATCATCTTTCTATTAGAGTCTTTTGCGTAGTTTTGCTTTCATATATTTATTATTTGGAATTGATACTTATCGTTATTCTCAAAAATTATAAAACTATTCTAAATGTTATTTGCCTTCTGTTCACTTGTTTTATTAACATTTATAATATTGAATTGAGTGCAAGTAGTATTATGGCAGAAGAATCATCACCACAGATGGTATAATTAACCACTGATGTCTTCAACAAGAACAGTGGTTCAACTCACTTCGACATAAAATTTTCATTGCAGAAAAGGTATTCAATTACTGTTAAAAAAACTAACATACTTCAAACTAGAATAATCAGCAAACACGATAAAAATAATACACAATACTTACATCGATAAACACGGCCAGTATCTCAAAACTACTTATTATTTAAAATTTATTTTGTAGTGACCAAAACACTTTTCGCAACTTAAAAGCTAAACAAATCAGGCATTTTGTGCAATAGTGACACATACATTATTGGTCTTGTTAATGTTTCATTAGCTTGCAATTTAAGTCTCCCGGACTCCCCCTACAAATCGTATATATATATATTTCTGTTTACGGTATACTGATATGTTTGTTGGGTATCCTTTTGATTGCAAAAGAGTTTTACTAAAACCGTGTCTTTTCGTTGCCGAAAAATAGATTGCATAAACCCAATATAGACCATGACGTGACATTGAATATATTGCCGGTAACTTTGACAAAAAATTGTCATTGTTGGTCTCATATACAGGGTTATTAGTAAAATACCAACAATCTCGGAGGACTAGATAGCTGCTATCCACGAAGTTTGATTTGCGGTTTTCAATAATTCGTTCCATTTTACAAACCTAGCATTTTAGTTTTAGTAAGTACTTACACCAATACGTAGGTATATTAAGTTCCTACAAAATTTGTGCATGGTGTATCTTCGTTCACGCGGAATAGTCTTGCTGATGCTGACTGTAATCGAAAGTAAGATTAAAATTTATAATCATTCTTGTTTGCAAAGGGTTTAGCCGGATACGTATGACGAGTCGGCCCCCAAATGGGAATCGATATTGAAACTTATGTTTTAATATAGACTTGATGTTCAAACACGATTTATGTACTTTTCGCGACCGACTTCCGCTTTGACCTTGAGATAGAGAGCAAAATATCCGTATGCTTGACTATTACTGAATGTGATATATCTCTGAAGCTAATTAAGATAAAGAAGTGAAACTAACGCGAGGTGTTAGGTTACATTACAGAGTATATCACATATATTTTTTTATAATTTTTAGAATAAAAAATTATATTAAAAAAAAAAATAAAAAAAAACATGTTTTTTTTTCTGAGTTCTCTGTGACTTACAATCACGAAATTAATATATGTTATGCTCCTTTGTGTGCTCTATCACCCATAAAAATTGCGTGAAAAAAAAGTTGGTGCAACACTACGAAAAAAAATTATATGTGATTCGCGCCTTGTAGTGTGAGTGTATAAACAAACAAGTTCGAACTTGTTATCGAGCTGTTTACTGCATCGTTTGTTTAGCTAAAGTAGCAGTCATTTGTATTACACAAGAAGGCAGTTTGGGACTCATATTCTGTCATAGGTATTTTGTATCAGCATTTTGAAATTATTAACTATCGAACCAAATCATTATTAAGTAATAATGTCGAAAAAGTGTAAAAATTGTAACAAGTACCTGTGTAAGATTCCTGGTTATAAAAAAATTATAAAGAATGAAGAAGAAGCTAAAGTGTTTAGTGACTGTTTGAATAAAATCGTAATAGTTAATGATATTTTTTGTGAGAAGTGTCGACTTATCCCATATATTAACAAAAAAGCTTCTACTTCTAAATGTGCAGCATTTAACTTGGCCGAAATAATGGACGATCAAAATAATCTCTCAGTACAATATGTGAAATCAGCACCTAATATCATCAAAGCAGAAGTGAAATCAAGACATATAAATAGAGATGTCTATCGAATTTACATTCACTATATTTCCGAAAGTAATGACTACAATAGTATTCTTCGTTATTGCTGTGATTGCCCCAATGGCAAACGTACAGTGGGATGCTGTTCTCATGTAGCAGGTATTATTTATTATCTATCATATGGATGATATTTGTCCAAAATCGTACGTCCTGCTGAGGTCCTAACTAAGTTATTTGCGACTCAAAGTGTTCCGATTGTAATTAATTACAACAGTGACGATGATTAATATTTTGTTTCTTGTATTTTGATAGACACGTAAAAGTAATAATAATAAGTATTGAACACTGGCTGTTTTTTTTTCATTTCTTTTTTAACTATTATCCCATCTTTTAAGACTAGTTACTTATGTTTTAAAACAAGCTGATGTGAAATTTAGAAAAAAAAAACAATGATGTAATGTGAAAACCTTACAATACAGGGGTATACCATAAGACAGAAATCACATATAATTTTTTTTCGTTGTGTTGCACCAACTTTTTTTTCACGCAATTTTTATGGGTAATAGAGCACACAAAGGAGCATAACATATATTAATTTCGTGATTGTAAGTCACAGAGAACTCAGAAAAAAAAACATGATTTTTTTATTTTTAATTTTTTTAATGTGATTTTTTATTCTAAAAATTATAAAAAAATATATGTGATATACTCTGTAATGTAACCTAACACCTCGCGTTAGTTTCACTTCTTTATCTTAATTAGCTTTAGAGATATATCACATTCAGTAATAGTCAAGCATACGGATATTTTGCTCTCTATCTCAAGGTCAAAGCGGAAGTCGGTCGCGAAAAGTACATAAATCGTGTTTGAACATCAAGTCTATATTAAAACATAAGTTTCAATATCGATTCCCATTTGGGGGCCGACTCGTCATACGTATCCGGCTAAACCCTTTTTATCCCACGTACGTCGTTGGAATTAATAGGCAAATAAAAATTCACCATGCGTAATGTTAGTTGGAATTTATTGTACCGAGCATAGCGTCTTTCTTGTTTTTATTAATATAACATAAAAATACTAATGTCACGACATTACAAAAAATCTGATAAAATCTGTTTTGTTCAAAGTATTGAGTTATGTTAAAACTTGTGCATCAAACATTGTCTTTCTAGTTCTAGCAGGTGGCTGATGTTTTACAAATAACCCTATATATATATAGTAGTCCCCAAGTCTTATTTACTTATTACTCGTACAATGGGACGTTGGAACTGGTTAAAGTTTTATATGCGCTGTGGAGTCCTTGTAAAGTTGTAGAACTCGTTTTGTTCGAATATTTGACTATCAGCTGTACATAGACGCACTGGCCAGTTTGTGGGACGAGCCAAAGTTTGCAAATTATCTGTTTCTCGTGTAGATACTTTGTTTATTACTTGATAAACTTTGTTTTTTTTTTTATATATATACCATCACACCAAAGCTTTATTCCTTTATATTTTAGTTTTAGTTTTTAACAATTCAAAAGTTCGAAAATATAACGAATATACGAATATATACTAAAAATATTCCAAATGTCTTGCCAGGTAATAGTAAACATAAAGTATGTTTTTTTGTTCATATTTACAATCTATTGTATATAAGATTGCTACTATTATTTCATATGAATATGTCAGGTGAAGATGCGTAATTTGGTTTTGCATTAGACGTTACGCCTTAGACAATATGTCAACGTCGACCCAAATTTTCTGTGCGTTCATCTAGTTAATGTTTTCGGGTGTCACACGGAATATGAGAGTGCGTTGGGACTATTAATTGCCATCTTCAGAGGTTCGACTAATGGACTCCTGTTCTTAGGGAGACTCGTAAATGGGAACATCCTTTTGTTAGGTGACATTTTGTGGATAATTGTTACAAATAGGTAGATTGTGTTATACTTCTATTTATCTCACACCATAATGTCTATTTATCTCTCATTTATCAAGTATTGCTTGCAGTTTTTCCGCATTTTATTACTAATTATCAATTTTGACAAGTGCATAAAATTATGGGTTGTTCCGTATTCATCCTATGACGTCTCATCCTATTTCTTTACTCATCCTGACGCAAATAGTACTTATAAATTTGAATAGCACAACAATGTTTCAAAATTTTTCGACAAAATATTATGTATATAATAGAAATACTTATCTTATTTTATAAATGAAATATTGATGTTTGGTTTTTAAAGGTATTATTTACCTAAATGTTTTATTAAATACGTACTTATATATTCATCATCAAGCTATTAATGTTTCCACCGCTGGGACATAGATCTTCCCTAATTGGCTAGCAAATTGGTTCGTTCATATTATAGGAAAGTTTGCACATGCAATCAACAGTCACTAAATAAGTCAGCGATTCAGTGAGTATTTTGTTCTTATTTCCACACCCAAGAGCTAACTCAGGGGTAGCATCTGTTATATTTGTTAATTATTAAAAGATGGAGTCGTTATACAGAGAAATATTAATAATAATCGAGGAGATAAAATCTAATCAATTTATAATACACATAATAATATACTTCACATAAGACTAAAGTAAAGGGAACCTGAAAAGGGTCCAAAACGTCTAAATCTAAATACAAACGCGATGAAACCGTTTAAAAGTTGTTTCATTTACGTACCTTATATCCTACGTTTCTGTTGACGCCGGTGTGGCAAGATTTCAGACCCTTCAATTGATCCAAATTATTAACTGCTAGGTCCTTGTGTACCACTATCACGGCTTCGTAACGAAATTCCGCTAAAATAAATACGCAGATAATTCATATTAAATTTTCGAGAAGGTTTCTTAGCAGTATAATTATAAAATATATATATAAATATAATGGTGAGACAATGTCATGGGCAGTCTATCAATTAATTTAATTCCACATATATTTGTTATTAGTCGTATCTAAAAATATTTTTTCAGGAGGAGGGTACAAAAAATCGCCTAAAGGAATAAGAAAACTTCGTTTTATATTGCTTTAAATAAAAAATAATCAACAACTTTCAGTTGATTGCTATTATGTTTCTATAAATATTTTAATACTAATAGTAGATAGAGCTCGATGGTGATAAGGAAGTTAAGCAACTTTCGCAAGGACCAGACCATATAGGATGGATGTCCAAAAATTTACTATCTCGAGCTGCTTCGTATTGGGCCAGTGCGGAGGGTTATAGCCCATCCTTCTTAACCATCCATAAGGAAGGCCTAAGTCCCTCCGCTGGGGACATTAAAGAGCTAATGATTATCTAGATGACACAGTTTTTATTACTGTTAATTGAAACATGCATATTAATAATTAAAATTAATATTACCTCTTTCTCAGGTATAAAATCAAAACTTTTGGCGTGTTGTTAAAATGTTCGCGAATGTATATATACGGGAGTCGAAAGTACAATTCGGAATTATTCAAAATGTTACAATATCGCGGTGCAGAACGTATTCGCAAATGGGAACGATAAATTACACTGAAAGGCATCCAGGTGTTATATGTGTCTGCTAACAACATTCAGTGGATATTCTCAGAATATATTATACAGCGTATTGTGTATCGGGAATTTAGGAAATGGCTTGGAGGAATCCAGAACTAATATGTATGCTACATGGAAATATTTCAAGTTTGTTGTTGCTTCTTGACAATATGTTCTGAGATATACAAAGCAATTATCGCAAATGCATTTTGGTTTTAAAATAGTTTTGAAACTTCGTGAAAACTAAAAGATATTGTTAGAGACTTTATAAATTAACGCTTAACTTGTGTACGGGGCAATTTCTTATTTATAACAAATATAAAATTAAGTACGCATCGTTATTGGAGGACAATAAATAAGTATTTCTTCACAGTCAAAATCTGTTCCAATGTCCATACTTTCTCTCATTTGAATAAACAGCTATGAAACTTACGCAACAACTGATTCATTGTTCCTATTGTCAAAGTGTATGCTTAATCAAATTCATTGTACCGAATAAATTGATAAAACTTGTAAAAGCTAGCTACATATTTTGTGGAGTGTTTTCTAAAAACAAATGACTTACATGCTTTTAAAGGTTGTATTTAGAACAAATAAAAACGAAGGCTGGCATTTACCTACATTACAGATCACACGTGATTTAATGAGAGCTTAAATAGGGACGATCACATATTTTTGTTTATTTATCCTTCAGGTATGTTACTGAATTTTAGACACATATTGTTTTCGTAAACAATAAATGTCGTATGCCGTTATCTTTGTATATTTTCTACACAGTTGTGACGTAGCGAGCCCACATTCTTCAATTTTATAGCCTATTATCTAAGTCATTTCCCGTTAAATTAAACAAAAAAAGAGTATCTATAGTTTTCCGATGGACTCGATAGAATATCTTTTTTTTTACGCAGTCATCATCCTTATATAATAGATTATTTGTTTTCTGTTATGTTGTGTAGAAGATTGATAATATCATCTTCTGTTTGCATTTGTGGGACAAAAGTCAGTCATTCGATGGATGTCTAAAAATTTATAATTCACGTATTATAGAAACCATGTAGTTATCGCATTTTTAGTTTAACATCAAACTTCGCATCTGGGATTCATTTATTCCTTAGGGAAGAAATGTTTTCTAACAAAACCTATACATTGCTTATACATTTATTCTTTTGTACTTTGTACTTTTTAGGGTCGTCAAAGGATAAAAACGGGCATCTATTATTAAGGCTGTCCATCTATCACCAGGCTATATCTCATGACCCGTGATAGCTAATAAGTTGAAATTTTCACAGATGATGTACTTCTGTTGCTGCTATAACAACAAACATTAAAAACAGAATAAAATAAATATTTAAGGGTGCTCCCATACCACAAACTTTTTTTTGCGTTTTCTAATAATGATACGAGACTATTCATGATCGAGTCCGATTCAAACTTAACTTTTTTGTCTTTACTCTTTTTGCTACTTTATAGGTACTTTACTCTGCCCTTAATGTTGATTTTGTTAAGAACATAGTAAGCTACACTCACCATCAGGCTCATCTTTGGTTCTGTACTCCTGGAAAAGTACGAAGTCCTGGTTGGGTATTTTGGAAGCGACATACATATCCTCAGGATCGACAGGGACAAAGTCAGCTTGCCGTTGTTGCACGTGGTTCAGACATTCCATTCTAAAGTCAAGTATAAATTTGGTTAATTTATTTGCAAATTATGACCAAAGGTTTCCTATAATAATTTGAAATCAAAGCATTGTATGTAGTATTTAAATATAGCTATCTTAGTTGACAAATCATTCGTGATTATATATAAGTAGACACCTACACACTAAAACCAATCGTGTCAAAATTATCAATGTGGATGTATGTACATTAGTTTTCATTATGATTTTGACTCAGGGGTAGATTAAGACACAATAACTAATAGAGGAAATTTTTCCAGGGTTAACAACATTAGAGATAATCATTCAAAAATTCGTCTAGACGACCCTAGAAATATAAAAAGAGTGCAAAATTATGTTTGTTAATATATGACCATTATTTCATCTCATTGGTCTGCTGGTAAAGTAAAGCAGGTAAATGTTCTATGTATAAAAAACAGTAGGTATGTCAGATTATATAAAACTATAATGTTCCTCAGATGTTAAATCTTAAAACATTGATTCAAGCGTGAAAATTTGATATTCTGTGGTAATATGACGTTACATGAGTAGCTCGATGGCGTAGAGGATAAGCGCCGCGGTCCGCGATCGTAGTCGTTAAGCAACTTTCGCAAGAGTCGGTCATGGGATGGGTGACCAAAATATTATTATCTCGAGCTACTCCGTGCTTCGGAAGGCACGTTAAGCCGTTGGTCCCGGCTGCATTTGCAGTCGTTAATACCCTCCAATCCGCATTGGGCCAGCGTGGAGGGTCATGGCCTATCCTCCTTAACCATCCATAAGGAAGGCCTGAGCCCCTGCAGTGGGGATGTAAAAGGGCTGGTGGTGGTGGTGACGTTACACATATACACGGTATTATACATAATTACAGCAGAACATGAAGTTTCCATGTAACAATTCTCCAGAATCGATGTTAAATCTAAATCTAATAATTAAAAATAAAATGTTAAATCTAATATTAAAATAGTTATTAATTTTCGAAATAAAGCTGGAAAAGTTACGTTTGTGCATAACATGATGTGTCGTCTATTGTATGCACATAAAACGATGTCTCCCTTCAATATTTATATCCTAAGCACGTATGGGAAGATCGCTCGTTGAATTATTAACAAAAGTAGTTTAGCTGATTTGTTATTTACACTATTGTAGGCGATATTTAACTTGTTAATTTTTAAGACGAATTTTTGAAGTTGATTTTATTTTAAATTCGCTATTTGTTGTCTGTACTCAATATAAATAATGTATTTTTAGCCTCAAAAGTGTCTAGTCTTAAGTAGTTATGCAAGATTTCGTCAATGTCAAGGTAAAGTCTAAATTCACTCGTTTCAGCTAAAAGTTTGTTTACATACTTTTTAACCAAGATATTTAGATTAAACTTATCCATTTTAATTATAATATTTATCATCAGATTTTATTTAAATTATTCATAGCACTATGTAAAACTTTGTAGACTTTAATCAAAATAAATAGATGCTTGTAGCTATTCCACTTCACAAAGGATGAAAAGTTATTGCGCGTTTCTTAATATATTCGCGCCAAAACTGACTGTTACAATAAAGGCAAAGAAATAGAGATGCATATAATATATTGTCTATGGAATTGGTAAAGGTTATTGAATGTAGTATATAATTACCTGTCTCTAGCTGGAACGCATTCTAATACAGCTTTGCTCTTCGTGTCCACTTCCAGCATTTGCTCACAAGCTTTGAGGTGTTGTATTGGTACGCATATTTTGTCTAAAAACATAAGCTTTAGTTATTATATTTGACAGTGCTATTCATCTTATAGACATGTTTTTTAAAAAAAAAACCACTGGTTCTAGGTGACCAAGCAGTCGCTTGGATTGCGAAAGGTTGTGGGTTCGATCCCATCTCGGGCGCCTAGGATTGGTTAATTTTTTAAAAGCATTTTTCTATAATTCTAGCTTTAATTTCAAAAGTAGAAATTTGATATTCAAACCCCACATTTTTTTCAATATCGGTCTAATTTTTTAACAAAGTTTGCAACATTTATTTTTGTTTGTTGGTTTCATTGAAAAATATCTAATCATAAAAATTATAAATAGGTGAATAGATATCTAGAAGCTTTACATTATTTTAGGAAGGTCGTCAAATGTCATATTTGATGGTCCTAGTGCTAATAAGTAAATACAATATTTAATTTAATTCACTTATCCATACCCAAAAATAGAATGATCGAATAAAGAAAAGAATGGGTTTTATTGTAATTTTATGGAGATTGACCATAGGTACCTAAAGTTTGAATAGCAACAGCTCTTACGATAGCTTATCGTTTTTATTTACATAACAAGTAAAAACAAACTCAAAAAGAATTTAAAGATTTCTTTAAAATATTTGTCTACACCTATTGTAGCTTCTATATATATATATATATTGTTTTACTTATATCTCATTTTAAAATGCTTTTTTAACAAGTTGTTTTTTTTTTGGAATAGACGAAGGGCATTAAATTTAATATTATTCGTTCACTTTTAATTAAATTTACTCTTAAAATACCAATTTAAAACCTCATTTTTTTCAATTAAGAAATTCTCTCTTTTGTTTTGTTCTTATTAGCTACTAATTACACTTTTAAAAACTCATCCTACACAAAAAAAAGTAGGAAACAGTAAATGTAATAATTTTAATTTCAATCAGAATATGAATAATCATGCATGCAGTTCACATAATTAAAAAAATAAATAAAAACAAAGGTAACATACATGAAGATTTGCATGTGGCACTTGCAATAAACAAAAAAATCAGCGCGATATATTTTGTAGATGCCATGGTCACATACGACCGAGCGCGACCACGATAAATGCGACTAGACGTTGTGGTCAAGTCAACCGTCTTCTTTTATATGTATTTATCTTTTTTCTATTTATAATTCCATCCCGGCACTGTGTTCAATGCGTTCTGTGACACTATGGGCAATTTGAACTGGCACGTATTGTATGAAGTATAAAACACTGTGTCACTTGAGTAAGTAGTAGGAATGCAGAATTACAGCAAAGAGTTAGAAACGTATAGAGAACTTACGAAATTATTGATTTTTAATTGCTTCATTTTTAAATAATATTATTTACTAAATATAAGACACCATCGCATTAAAAACCACAGAAATATTTTTTTATAAGTACTCGTATATTGCATTATTCAGATTCCAAGATGAGTAGCAAAAGCCCTCGAATTATTTAATATTCGGGACAACGAATGTGCCCACACCTTTATTGATGAAAACGAATCAAATTGAGTAGTAGTATTATAATTCGTCCATGGGACAGGCGAAGGAACTAAGCCATACAGCCAAATCTTGGATTGAATCAAATTGAATAGGAAGATCGGCCATGATTCACAGCGCTGGCCCAATGCGTATTGGGTGTCAACGCCTGCAGATACAACTGGGACGAAAGGCTTAATGGTTTTCCGAATCACGGTGGAGCTTGAGCTAAAACATTTTTGGTCACCCATCCTATGACCAGTCTTTGCGAATTACTGATTTAGCTCCTCAAATAATAGCTGAACTAATGTGCGTTGAACCTCTCTTATGTTAAAAAAATCATATGGCGGATTATGGTCATTCCCGTATTTCTTAACTATTTATTTTCCTCCATATGTTGCTGAGAAAAGAATGCTATCCAGCGTAATTCCGCGGTTTGTATACTATTTATATCTTGTCATTATTATTATTTAGATATTCTAACCCAATTGAATTTCAATTAACGAAATAATATGGGAATTCTAGACTCGATTTATATCTGCGTTTTGCATCCGAATCGAACATTCAATAGTAATACGAGTGGAACACGTTTGGTTACCTCCATGATTAACAAGTTCGTGTGTACCTAGTTATAATCGAAAATTAATAGATATTATTTGTTTACTCATAAAATTGAATTCTCAGATCAAATTTGAGCCTGTAATTTGGGATTAAAAGTATAGTTTTCTTATTACTTATTACTGTAAACTGTAAATCTTACATTCATTTATGATCGTATGTTGTTTTTATTGTCAATAGGGTAAAAGAAAAAAAATATGATTTATAATAATACTGATGTTAAAATGTTACCTAGGTAAAATATTTGATTTTATTGCATCGTGAAATATCTATTCGAAATTCAAAAATAACCGGCTACTAAAAAGTTTATAATATGTACGAAATTGTTTTTTAAAGTAAATAAAAAATAAAAAGGGTTTTTAAAAATGGCGCCAATAATATTTCCTTCTTTATCAGCTTGTTTTTATAATGATGAATTAAAATGAAATTGTTTTTATGTGTAACTTATTGTTATGGATTGGATACATTGTAATAATTGTTTTGCGCAATTGGAACCAGGAATTATACTTAATTTGACATCATGTGGTCATATGTTTTGCAGCAATTGTTTGGAAAGTGGTAAGTTATATTTTGTTTAACATATGTCTAAAGACGATGTTGTTTTTATTCAATGTTTATAATTTTAGGTGCGAAGGAAAATACATGCTTAATATGCCGCATTCCATGTTCTATCATGAAGCTAACTCCTGACGTATGTATTGATATTAGTTCGACAGATTAATTAAGTAAATATAAATTAATTATGCTATACTACAGACTTCTTTTTAGATGAATTCTGAAATCCAAGATTATTTTACGGACCCAGAAGACATAATAAAAAAAACATGCGAAGTTTTGCAGTTCCAAAGGCAACATAGACGTAGATTGTTGTCTTACTTGTTACAGTCGGTAATAAATTTCATTAAAAAAAAAGGATATTATTGAAACTTCATTGGCACGTCATTATGACTTTAACATTAGAAGCTTTGAAAGATTCGAGTCCGCGCAGCTTTCGTAATAATAGAACTGTAAGATGATTCTGTAAGAATCCGAAACTGAATTCGAATTCACGTCATTTAGTGAAGAAATTCTATTGATTCCATATTTTTTGTATAAAAATACAAAATAAAATTGATTGATTACTCGTGTCTCAGATATTCTATTCCTATTTCATTTCGAAACTCACTTCACTTATGTCACGCAACGTTATAACCAATTCAAGATTGAGCTGGTGCCGCTTTTTGAAATGAATTCGGACACTTGAGTGAATTCGAATTAGGGTTTATATTTTTACAGAATCGCAGGTCTGTATTAGAAATGTACGATGGAAAGGCACGTTCATTCATTTGAGAAGTTTATATGAATATAGTTGTAAAATAGTTAGAAATGCATATAGTTCTGACACTTTAAGTCTACCTTTTGAATAATTGCTATTTCTATTTCCTTTACTATTATTTCAATATTCATATAAAGTTTCAATAGTTTTCAAATTTATTTCAAAGAATACAGGTCCTACTTTGATATAAATAATGATTTAAAAAATCAAATTGGTTTTGCTATTATTTAAAAAATACAGCGATGAATACGGCCACTGCATTAGAAGTTTATTCAAGTGATACCTTTAAACTTGAAGATGGTTTTATTTCATTAACCATATAATGCTGTAACGTTTTCCTTGGCTGTGTCGGACGCTGCGTTCGACGCTGTATTTTAACAGCATAGTACTGCAGATCAATTGTTTGTTAATAAGGCCTTATTATTTTACTATGTAATAATCTACACTAATATTATAATGAGGTAAAATTTCTAACTTTTTGTTTGTAGGGAGTAGCCTTCGGAAATACTGATCGGGTATTAAAAAATCTTTTACTTACGGGAAGTTACATCATACGTGGGTTAAGTTGCGGGATTACAACTGTTCGTTCATAAAAAAATTTATACATTTTACAGTTGTAGTAACTATTTTGTTCTTTATTACAATTTCCCAGACTAAGAAATTTTATACAGCGAGAGTAGAATTGAAGCGAATGACGGAATTGTGTCAGAAGCAGCATAAACAGATAAAAGAGTGTCAGAAGACCATAAAAAATTTGGAAATGCAACTCGCAGGCCAATCGAGTAAATTAATATACCGCATATCATGTACTTAGTGGCTCGGTGGCGTTAGTAGACAAATAAATAAATATTAAGCAACATCACATACATTGCTCATATTCCAAGATGAGTAGCTCCCGTATTATGGAGTAACTGAGACGACGAAGGTAGAACACCCAGACCCGAACCAATATAGGACAGTTCATTTTTTACATTGACACGACCGAGAATCGAATCCGGCACAGATAGCGATATTCTGAATCCGCTGTACAAACCACTCGGCTACAGAGGTTGTCAAGCACCGCGGCCCGCGATCTTTTCTGTTAAGCAACTTTCGCAAAGGTCTTTCACGGGATGGTTGAGCAAAAATTATTATCTCGAGTTACTCCGTGCTTCGGAAGGCTTAGCCGTTGATGCCGGCTGTATTTGCAGTCGTTAACACCCTCCAATCCGCATTGGGCGTAGAGGGCTATGGCCCATGCTCCTTAACTATTCATAAGGAAGGCCTGAGCCGCTGTACCCTACTACATTAAAGGGCTGATGATATTATCAAGAACTCATCTAGATACTATTGCAAAAAAATATATTCTTATATAATGTTTTTATATGATTACAGTCGTATTTGGTTTTAGTTAATGCCAAATGATTTATTGACCCTCTTATTACAGATAAAATTAAAATATATTGTTTGTTCTATAGTATAAAATATAAATGGTGGAAAGTGCAAAGTTATTGTTATATAATCTAAAACTTTGAAATATTCTGCATTTTATAGCAGTAGATATACATTTTATTTTCCAATACAATTTGCACATTTCAGAACAGACATCCCCTTTTAATATTCCGATCTCGCCTGGGACCAATATATCTCCGAGTTTCATTCAAACTACTCCATGCTACAAAAGACCCGCGAAAAGCACACCGTATAATGTAAGTATCTTCAAATTGCAAATATTTACTGAATGATGTACCTAGTCTGGCCATAAATTCTGTTACAATTTTAAAAGCAAAGATTTTCTAAATTTTTGAATTTCGCATTTTGGAACGCTGCTATGCCATTTTATTAATTAAGAGTTACTTTTTGTAAAACAACAAGATTTTTGTCATAAATTAAATATTTTAAAATGGAGTGGGGTGTTAAAGAAGACAGAATCGCTCTTATTGCACTGCATTAGGTGGGAATGGAGCCTTCCGTGATTTATAAGATCCTTTAGAAGCTAGGTATCAATCGGATGTTTGTGTATCGTACCATCAATAGGTTCGTAGAGACCTCCTCTATTGATGACCACAAGAGATCAGGCCGTCCACGTACTGCTCGAACCACACAGGTTATCAACGCGGTCCGAGTCAGAATTCGACGAAATCCCTTGAGAAAGCAGAAGATTTTATCCCGTGAAATGAAGATCAAGCCTAAGACTCTGTCCCGAATAATCAAAGATGACCTAAAACTTGGGGCTTACCGTCGCTATACCGGGCATACCCTCAATCGAGCTTTAATAACGAAAAGGGTCGAAAGATCAAAACAGTTGCTGGTTCGTTACGCAAGTGGAAAGCACAGGAACATTTTATTTACTGACGAGAAAATTTTCACCATTGAAGAACATTTGAACAACCAAAATGACCGTGTTTAAAGAAGCGTCCCAAGTTGTAGAAAGAGTCCAGAGAAGCCACCACCCCGCGTCAGTGATGGTGGGGGGTGTCCTACCACGGCGTTACCAAGCTTCATTTCTGTGAAAAGGGTGTGAAAACTCCTGCCAAGGTGAAACCATCCTAAATAACGTAGTGAAACCTATAGGCGACACACTCTTTCCTAATATTCCCTGGACGTTCCAAAAGACTCGGCTCCCGGTCACAAGGCAAGCACCACCCAAGCTTGGTTCACGGATAATGTTCCCGACTTTATCAAAGTTGATGATTGGCTCTCCTCCAGTCCAACCCTGGACCCATTAGATTACAAATTGTAATCTGTCTTAGAGGAAATTGCCTGCTCTAAG